ATGCCAATTAAGCACAACTAAAATGTTTCTGAAAGTTAAAACGTTGCCAGCGTTGATTCGCATGTAGTTTCGCACATTTATTTTTTTCTAAATGTTTTGAGGTTTGAGTGGCCATGCACTTTACTAGTTTGTGCAGTGGTGTAAGATTCGGTGGTCTTTGCGTTGCCATAACTGGGCTTTAAAATCAAAAAATAAAAATAAAAAAGGAGAGAGAAAAATAATCCAATGAGGATTTCTATCAGTTAGTTGCAAATATAGCAGCATAATTTGATTTCTTAGAATTAGAGAACAAATCTAGCCTGATATCGCTTCACATCTATTAAACTAATATGTGTGTGGGGGGGGGGGTTATTGGTCCCCTCATTCTAACACTCCTCGAATATGAGAACATCGAAAAATGGAATCGTATGTTCATGTGTTTAAAATTAGTAAAAAAAAGAAACTAACATAAAATTTGTTTCCTATGTGTTTTGTTTGTGTGTCAAAGGACGAACAAAAGAAGCGTCATGCATCTATCACGGAGGCAAAGCACTCCACACTGGAGGTTCAGTTGCAGACCGAAAGAGAAGCGTTGGAGCGGAAAGAGAAGGAGGTAGTGTTCCTGTTTGTTGTTCTTGTCGATGAAGATGATCTTAGGTCTGTCTTCTCCTTCAGATCTGCCACCTGGAGGAGCAGCTGGAGCAGTTTCGGGAGGAGCTGGAGAACAAGAACGAGGAGGTCCAGCAGCTCCACATGCAGCTGGAGATTCAGCGCAAGGAGATCAGCAGCCAGCAGCAGTTCCTGGAAACCAGGGAGAGCATGCTCCAGGTAACCTGCCAACACCCACAAAGATGTGTTCTCATTTTCCTGCATGTTTTGCAAATGACCATATTATGTCAAACAGTGGCCCTACCTGTCATATAAATACAATTTGACTTGCTCAATATTAAAGCTGATTTTTTTACGACATGGAGACGGCATCTTTGGTGGAAATTTGCGTTCCGGTAAACTGACATACGGTCGCACCACAACGTCTTGCTGCTAACCAAATCCGCAGCACCTAACAAAGTTGTGGAGACTTTGCCCCATGTTGAAAAATAGTTCCATGAGCATTATTCAAGTTGATATTTAACGATGGTCACTATTTGCGTGAATACGGTCCTCTTACGAAACGCTAAATAGAAGCTACCTAAGCGTTTTCAGAGGATATTAGCTTAGCATGTAGCTAATACCCACTTGGTATAAATAGGATGCGATAGAGTGTTCTTTCTGCCTTTTGGCGAGAGTTGCGATTCCCAACCAAAAGTGTGACGAGACTAGAATAGAAAACTTGACGAGTTCCCATGTCTGCCAGATCACATCCATCGCAGGGCAACTCACGCATTTAGTCATCGGGCCGACTCTGGACTCTCTTATCTTTGTCGTGCTATGTTCTTTCCATCACGTTATAATCTGTTGACTCTTGAAGGTGATGGAGGAGAAGGACAGGGCAATAGCACTTCTTAATGAACAGATCACTAAGCTCCAACACTTGGAGAAAACGTCTGGCAACAAGGTAACAAGCCATGTCTATGCGGGCACGGAATAGAATGTGCAAGTCTATTCGGTGTGAGCATCGCTTCATGGTCGTGTGTGGTGTTTTCATTTTTTAATTTATTTTTTCGTGCCATCCATTTTGGTGTTGTGTTTGTCTTGGTAAGTAAATCCATGTGTTGGTTTTACGGTGGCTCATTCAAGCTCTTGAGTTTCCGTGTGAAAAAAAAAATCTCTGAAGGCATAATCCGAGGGTGGTTTTGAGGACCACATAACATTTTTTTCAGGGCCAGGTGATGAGGAGATGATGTAGAAAACAAAATCTGTCAAATCGTTGAACAATAAATGTTGTTGGAATTAATTTATGAGTAATTAGTGCGCCAATTTTTTTCATATAATAATTGGAAACCCTTTTTTTTTTCTTCACAATATTTCAAATGCGCTCGTGCATCGTTTTTATTTCATTATTTACAATACATAATTTTATGAGGTGAATAAACACATACTGTTGAACCAATTTCAGGGGTACAATCGGCTACAAAAGTACTGGAAAGATATATTACGGAAAATACTTTATTTTGATACTTGAGTCTGAATACAACAAATATTACAGCACTCATAATAATCATGTAAATGTTGAGAGTGGCCCCACCCCTGATCTAATCTAATTTTTTTTATTTTTTAATCATATTAGTTAAACGGAGACTCCTAAGGTTTCATCTAAAGGAAAGAGGTGGGAACATTTATTTGATATTATGTCCTAATATTTTTGAGTCCTCTTTTCAGGGAATTGATGAGCGGGATGCGCTGATCAGTGACCTGGAGTCGCAGGTGGAGTGCCTGCGCAGTGAGCAGGAACGCCTCAAGCGCAAAAGCGAGGAGGAGCAGGAGCAGCTGAACGCCGTCGTCGACAAACTCCAGCAGGAGCTGCTCCACATGGAGCGCAAGGAGGATGTCGAATCCCGCGCCAGGAACGAGTACGACTACGATGAAATGAAACAGAAGATGGACCTGGTCTCCGGAGAGTTCCACTCCCTCAAAGCGGAGCACGGCGAGCTTCTGGAGACGCACCGCCGCTTGAAGACGAGCACTGAGAACTCGGAGGACTTTACGGAGACCCCGAGGCAGAGAACCGCCCACCTCGCGGTGGCGCAGGCCCAAGCGCAAGCTCTGGAGAAGAACGGCGCGTCCGGCGTAGACGAACTCCGTCTCCGCGTCCGGGAGCTGGAGGACTTGGCGGGCGAGAAAGACGCCGAGCTGTGCAGCTCTCGAAAGTACGCAGAAGAGCTGCAGTGGAAAGTTTGCACCCTGGAAGAGCATTTAAGGGAGAAGGTGGCCGCGGCGTTGGTCAGCCAAGCCACACTTGACGCTCTTCAGCAGCAGGCATCCAAAGACCGTTCGGGTGACCTGCTAGGTCACCTGAACCAGAAGCTTGCTGAGCTTGAGGCTAGTTTAAGTGACATCGAGAAGAACCACAAGCTCCGAAAGCAGCTGCTCTCCAGCTCGAAGGAGGCGCAGTACGAGAGGAGGCTGGCGGCACTGCTGGATCTGACGAGACAGATGATGGGCGAGAAGCGACACAGAACGTCGGCAGGTCTGGAGGTAAAAAAAAAAAAAGTTTCGGAACGGGGGTTGGCACACATTTGTGTTCTATGGCAATGAAGAGTTTAACTTTAAAAAGAAATATATTTTAACGAACCAAAATTTGTAGGGGAAAAAAAGCTGCTATCAAGTTAATACTTGCTCTTTAATTGTTTAAATCTCAAAATATTAATCCATCTGTTCAAATTTTTTCTCTGTATATAAATCAATTTGTACTTGATTAGTTACATGGCGAGATATTTTAAAACTGCAAAAACTAGCTCAATATTTTCAGCAAATGTTGCATCCCTGCCCATAATGCCCGATGTAAAAACAGAAGGCGATTCTGTGCCCACCACTGAATTGAGAACTGTGATAAGTTGACCAAACCGTCTGTCTCTTGAAACCAGGCCTCGGCTGGTGACCAAGCGCTCACGTCGGAGCTTCAAGAGGCCCGAAATGAAGCCCTGGCTGCCAAAAAACAGCTGGACCACCACATGGAGCAATGCCACCATCTCCAGGCGGAACTTCAAGTATGCATCCGTGTGTTTTGAGTTCCAAAGCTTCATTTCAGGACAGTTGTTTTGGTAACACCATTCCTTGTCTTTCTCTTAGGACAAAACTGAAATAATCAAAAGACTTAAGGAGCAGCTTGAGGAGGTAACCTTCATCTATATATTGTCATGTTTTTCCAAAGTAGCAGGCTGCCAAATATTCTGTGTTCCCTCTCAGTCATCTTCTGGGGGAGACGAGGAGATGCTAGTGCTCCGAAGAGAGCTTACCAAGACCCAGGAGGAGGCTGCGCTTGCCAAGGAGGAGCTGAACAGCTGCAAGGAGAAGCTGGAGAAGCTGCAGGAGCTTCTGCAGGTATTGAGAAAGCAGGAGATGATAAAGACGGTGCGTAATTGAGAAGTATTGATCATGTATTGTGTTCCCCCTCACGAAAGGAGCGGGAACTGACCATTGCTCAACTAAAAGAAGATCTTTTACAAGTAAGTACAAAGTATTTCATTTTAACAGTGAACGGTGTTTCCTCAACCTTCATTTAAGAAAGGCTTTTTTTTTAGATTGTTAGTGGTAGCAATGCACATCAGCAAATCTTTTATATTAAAAAAAGAAGAAGAAGAAGAAATAAACCCAAATGCGTTGATAAATGTGATTAATTATCTAGCCCAACTAGAAGATGGGACAATTGATGGTCAAAATTTTCTTTTCTCTTCAGGTGAAAGCCGAAGAGGACAAAGCAGACAGGATGAACCTTCTCACGGAGCTCCAAGACATCCGAAGACATGCGGACTCCACCAAAGACGAACTGGATAGCTCCAGATCTCACAATCAGAAGCTCCAGGAGGACATCCATGTGCGTGAGCTCTCTATTTCGAAACTGACAGAGGAGCTTCAGGAGGTCCAAAAGAACCTGGACGCCACCATTGAGGAAGTAAAAAGCTACAAATCCAACAATGAGAAGCTCCAAGAAGACATTCAGCTGCGCGAGGGCTCCATTTTGAAACTGAAAGAGGAGCTGCAGGAGGTTCTGAAGAACAGGAACGATACCAAAGAAATAGATAGTTACAAATCCCTCAATGAGAAGCTTCAGGAGGACGCTCAAGTGCATAAAACGTCTATTAGTCGACTAGAAGAAAAGCTACAAGAGGTCCAAAAGAACATGAACACCACCAAAGAAGAACTCAACAATTGCAAATCCGACAACGAGAGGCTCCAGGAGGAGATCCAGGGCCGCGAGGTCACCATTTCAGAGCTCAAAGAGATGCTCCAGGAGGTCCACAGGAATGTGGACTCCGCCAACGAAGAAGCTAGCAGCTACAAATCCAACAATGAGAAGCTCCAGGAGGACATTAAAGCGTGTGAGGTTTCAGTTTTGAATCTCAAACAAGAACTGCAGGAGGTTCAAAAGAATTTGGACTCCACCAAAGAAGAACTCAACAGTTACAAATCCCACAATGAGAAGCTCAAGGAGGATGTTCAAGTGCGTGAGGTCTCTATTTCTAAACTTGAAGTGGAGCTCCAGGAGGTCCAAAAAAACACGGACTTCAACCAAGAGCTGACAAGTTACAAATCCCGCAATGAGAAGCTTCAGGAGGACATTCAAGTCCGCGAGGTCTCAATTTCTAAACTCGCCAAGGAGCTTCAGGAGCTCCAAAAGAACCTGCACTCAACCAAAGAGGAACTCAACTGTTACAAATCCCACAATGAGAAACTCCAGGAGAAGATCCAGTTACGTGAGGGTAACATTTTAAAGCTCAAAGAGGAACTCCCAGAAGTCCAGCAGAACATGGACTCCACCCAAGATCTGAGAAGCTCCAAATCCCACCATGAAGAGATCCAGCTTCGTGAGGTCTCCATTTTGAAGCTGAAAGAGGAGCTCCAGGAGGTGAAGAAGATTGCCGAGACCACCAAAGAAGAACTGAGAAGTTCCAAATCCCACAATTCCAAGCTGCAGGATGACATCCAGCTCCACGAGGTCTCCATTTCAAAGTTGAAAAACGAGCTCCGGGAGGCTCGAGCGGCCCTGACGAAAGCAGGCGACTCGGTCTCGACGTCTCCTTCTCCCGCTGCGTCCCCTCAGCCTTTCTTCTCCACTTCCTCGTCCACCTCCCAGCCCAAGAGGAAAGCGAGCGGCAAGCAGCCCCTGGCCAAGGGGACCAAAGACAAGATGTCCCTTTCCAGGAAGGGCGCCGCACCCTCCCGAAGTCCCGAGCTGGCCCAGGCTGATGCTTCCACGCAGACGGCCGCCAACGAGGAGCTGGATGAAGTCATGGGAGAGTTCCGAGAGAAGGTGGTCCAGATGCAGGAGTTGCACGCGGCCGAAATCCTGGACATGGAAGCGCGGCACATCTCTGAGAGCGACGCGCTGCGCCGCGACGCTCACGACCTGGAGGACGAGTGCAAGGCGCTCAAGGCCATCGTTGACAAGCTGCGTGCCACTGAGGTGAATTTTAACTTCCAGCCCCCCCACACCCCCAAAACACTTTTTTTTGGTTTATTTGTTGTGCGTTTTTTCTGATGGAATTCTGTTTTTAGGTCACCGCGTTGAGACAAGATCGGCCACTGTCACAGTTCAAAGATGGCTACACGAGTGGTAAGGTCAATCATGATGCTAATAATACACAATTCGTTATAATTACCGGCCCCCATCGCTCCAATTAAAAGACGATTCCACACATAGCGCCATACTTGATGAGCGATGTCGATCTTTTCAATCATAATCAAATAAATGTTTAGATTCAAATTGTTGTTTTTGTAACGCCGCGAATGATGATCCTTTGAGTTTTGTTCCTCGTTTTCAGACAGCAGCTCTGACTACAGCCAGAGGACCGGGTATGACCTCCCTGTTGGACTCCAGCAGGAGTTTCGGGTGACACCCGAAGGTGCCAGAAGAGAGGCGGACGATCCAGTATTACCTGACAGGATCAAGGTAAAACCTGACACGAAATCAATGTGCTTTAGTCACCTAAAGTGAGTTTTGAAATCCTTTTTTTTTTTTTTTTTTTGGGTCATGCGTCATTGTTGTTTCTCCATGCAGTCGTTGCTGCGTGAGGTGCACCAGGAGGGCATGCAGGTTCTCTCGCTGTCAGAACTTCCTGTTTCTGAAAATGAGCCTGGCGGCCATTTGAACCTGCAGGCGTGGCTTAAGGAGAGAGATGCCCTGCTGGCTACTGTGGAGTCCCTCAAAGGCCTCATTGCTCACATGCAGACCACGCAGGTTTTTTTTTTTTTTTTTTTGATACGCACAAAGCGAGATAGAATGAAGGATTATTCAACACAACTTAAAAAAAAAAAAAACATTTTGGAAAATGGAAGTCCGCTCACACAATGCAAAAACGTCCTATGCAAATTAGCAAGGATGACATATGATGTCATATTTGTGCGCGACTAGGTGTCGGGCGATTCTGTGGATTGGCGTGCGGAGCTCTTGGAAGCGGTGCACCGGGTGTTCACGACGGAGCGTAGCGTGTTCAAGAGTGCCCTCTACACCTACTTAGACCTGACGGACACCAGCGACGCCATCATCCACATCAACCAGCTGGAGCGCAGGATGGCCGAGCAGGTGACCGTAATCCCACTGCTCAGATCACTTTTACAATTTATATTCCGCACCGTATCCGGCAATGTTCTTTTCTTCTCATCGTCACTCTTAATGTTGGTCATTTCGGTCTTCTTCTAGGATGCACATCACAGAGAAGCGCTGGGTTCCCTCCATGCCGCAGACCGGTCCAGTCTTATCGCTGAGATCCATCATCTCCGAGGAGAGATGGAGCGCCTTTATCAAGGTAAGGCGCTTCAAAAGGGGCGGCGACGCGGCATCTAAATGGAAAGACACAAAAGAATAAAACTTCATTTGATTTCCTTCCTTAGGTGCGCGACCTGCAACCTTATTGGGCGCGACGGAGCATCGGGGGGGAGGCGATGCCGACGGGGCACCGCGGGCCGACAGGCTGCTGCTGGAGGAGCTGAAGGGGGAATTATCGCAGACCAAACTGGAGCTGGAGACCACGCTTATATCGCAGCACAAGCATCTCAAAGAACTGGAGGCCCTTAGGTTAGAGCGGACGCATAGAACTGGAAATTTTCACTTTGCAAGACTTCTTAAAACAACAATGCAAAAACCAGGGTCTTAAAAAAAATAATCAAATGAGAAATAAATTAGAAAATTTTAACAAAGTGGTCTGTCAACAGATGGAGTCATTTTAACGTGTCATTGCATGCAGGGCCGAGGTATCGCAGAAGGCCTCGGAGGTGGATGCGCTGAATGAGCAACTCTTGGAGGAGAGCCGGAAAGGCCGCGAACTTCAGTGGGGCATGGAGAAGGAGCGTTGTCGCGCCGGGAGGAACGAAGAGAACGCTCGAGAACAACTGGAGGTAAGACCTCGCCACACTCCGAGCGCCACAACTCCAACCAACTCTTGACTTTGTTTCCAAGGACTTGAATCTGGCTTTGGAGGAGCAAAAGAGCCAAGCGGAGCGGCTGACGTCCACCTTAGAGCAGGAGCGCCAGGTCTCCTCCCGCCTCTGCCAGCAGGTCGAGAGGGAGAAGCTGAGCCTCCACAGTCGCCTCCAGGAGCTTCAGGTCCAGCTGGAGACGGAGCGAGCCAAGGCCCGCGAGATGAGCTCCGCTCTGGGCACGGAGAGGGAGCTGCGGGTAGGCGGAGGCCCAGCCAGCCAGGAGGAGAACCTTCTGGAAGGTCTGCAAAAAGAGCTGGATGACAAGCAGGCACAGGTGAGGGTGTAAAAATTAATCTCTGACGAATCTAAAAATGAATTTCCATTCATAGGCCTACTAATCAAATACAATTAATCAAACGTCCTCTATGTAATGTGAAATGATTTAAATGTTGTCTTCTAGGTGGTGGATCTCCTCAGCCAAATGGAGGCTGAGAAGCTTGAAGTGCTGAGAAAGGACGAGGAGCTGAGCCTGGCGGGCCTCAAGACCAGGCAGAACGACGAGGCTCTGCTGGAGGCCCGGGCCCAGCTGGAGAGACTGGAAGTGCGCTTGTCGGAGACGCAAGACCTGCTGGCGAGCGAAGAGGCGAGGCGGAGGAGCCTGGAAGAGGACAAGGAGCGACTGGAGGAGAGGTTGGCTCGGGAGGGCGGCGCTGGGCGGGGGACAGCGCCCATGCCGCACCACCAACACCACCCAGGCCCTTGGCGCACGGCGGACGCCGTCTTGGGGAAACTGCACCTTGTCGCTTCCAAGATCCGTGGCATGGCAAGCAAGGCCGCTGCTGAGATCACCAGTGAAGAGCTGTCACTGATCCAGTCCAGTGTTGATGATCTCATCAGCATGCTGCAGCAAACTCCGGCTCTCCCATCTATCCCTGAGGTGGGCATACTTATGTCATGTGGAATAAAATCATAACGCAAATATAAATGTACACAAAATGGCGGTTCGCTATATAACGGCTAACGAGAGATGCTAACAGAGGTGTGCTCCTCTCGTTTATCTCCCTCCTCAGCGCTCTGCCCTGTCGGCGGGAAGCTCCTCATCAGGCTCCTCCTTGACCGAGCGTCTGCTCCGGCAGAACGCCGAGCTGACGGGTTTCGTGGGCCGCCTGACGGAGGAGAAGAATGACCTGAGGAACCACTCGCTGCGCTTGGAAGAGGAACTCCGCTATTACCGGCATGCAGGCGATGCTGTGAGTAGACAGCAGCGGGGTGAAAGACAAACCGCAATGTTGCAATTGTTCACCGTGTTTGTTCTTCATCCCTCTGCAGGCCAGCGGGAGGCGAGGGGCATCCAGGCCGGACTCTGCCGACGCGCTGTTGCTCTCTCAGCAGAAGGAGACCTGGAGCCGAGAGAAGGTTCGCTTGGAGAAAGCCTTACACCAGGCCCTCGCTCAGGTGGCCCGGCTGCGAGGGGAGATCAGGACAGACACGCTGAGAGAGCTAACCGGGCCTGAGGCAGACAACGCCGCCCTCAAGGTCGGGAAATGTTGTGTCACGAATGGAGAGTTGGTAAAAATGAATCGAGTTGCGGGTAGCTGACTATTAAACATTCAATATTTCTTTGCGTCCTCGCTTGTCCCCGTGCAGAGGATGTACGGCAGGTACCTGCGCTCGGAGAGCTTCCGGAAGTCTCTGATCTACCAGAAGAAGTACCTGCTGCTGCTGCTGGGCAGCTTCCAGGAGTGCGAGGAGGCCACGCTGGCCATGCTCTATAGGATGGGCGGCCGGCCCTCGGAGGGACTTGGCAGTGGCCAGCGGGGACTGCGCCTGCGCGGGCTCATGCGCTTCCGCTCGGCCGTGCGCGTCTCCATCGCCCTCTCCAGGTAAGTCGGCGGAGAGAAACTAAAATCATTGAAAGTCATTATTTTCACTAGGCTTGCTTATTTTCTGTGCGTGTGTGTGTGTGTTCCAGAATGCGTTTCCTGGTCAAGCGCTGGCACAAAACAACGGGCATGAGCAACACAACCCAGAAAAGTGAAACCACGCAGATGATCAGTAAATGAAACACTATCAGGGCTCTTCCTTGGCTCAAATTGACATGATGGTGCTATCATTCTGATCACCATCTTTAAAAAAAAATTCTTGAAGTCTTTTACCGTTTTCTGAAATCATATATTTGACTGATCTTGCTTGAGTGCAGATTTTTCCATTTGAAGGTTGGACAACATGAGGCAGCCAGAAAATTAGGCCGAATGATTATTTCAGAAAACCCGACAGCATATAAGGCACTCACTCAATCATACAAATTTAGAACTCATTTTTTTTGTGTGTGTTTGTGTTCTTCAGCCAGCGATGATAGAGATTACCTCCACCCAGGCTTGGACGTGTACCGAGGAGGGAGCTCAAGCAGGGGACGCAGCGGACGGGAATCCCCCAGGTCGCCCATCTCCCCTGCACAGCACAGGTGGGACAAGATTCGGGAGCCTCCACCAAGACTGAACGGCAATTTTTCATGATTCGTTTCTTGGGTTTTAGGTTTCTTGCGGCAGGAGACCCCGGGGCGCTCACGTGCTCCCACCTGCAGAACTACGACCCCGACCGAGCCCTCACCGATTACATCTCCCGGCTGGAGGCCCTGCAGAGGAGGCTGGGGAGCGTCACGTCAGGTTCTCGTCACTCGTTTACATGCAGCTTCTTTGCAATGCAATCTCTCCTCTGTATTAACTTTGAAATGTCTTCTCTGATTCTTTGTTTCCTTCTGCAGGTGCTTCGTCTTCGCTCGCTCCGCTACATTTCGGTTTAAGAAGATGAAGACACCGATCAAAATAAGTTGCCTTTTTTGACGCGAACTGTTCTTTCCACATGGACCAAAAAAAAATATGGCGTGCGACAGACAGGTTTGCGTCTCGTGTCGCCACCACTTGAATGAATGACATGTAATTTAATTCGACAAATGGTGTACATTTTGTTTGTGGATAATTTAAAAAAAAGACATGAGATTAATTTATGTGAGAGTGGGTGTTGGTTGTGAGCAAAGTGGGCTTAACTGGATTCTTCTACACGCATGTTTTGTTCAAGGCCCGAAGACATTTGTAGAGAGCGTATTTTTATAGCAGCTTTTCTGGCTATTTTGTCAAAAAATGAAATAAAGGCAAAGAATTGAATGATTTTTTTTTTTTAATTTATCGTTGACTACAAAATGTTTTTCTTTTTGGGTAGTACTGTGAACATTCAACAAATCTCTCTTTTTTTTTCTTAATCACATTTGACAGAAGTAGGCCCAGTTTTATCGGATTCTTAAATCAGTTCAGGCTTTAAAACCTACAACCTAATACAACTTAAACAGAGTGCAGTACAGGTGTTAAAAAAAAAAAAATAAGAGGCTGTCAACATTCACAAACCTCATTTTGTATTTACATTTCACAGAAGTAGGAAGAGTTTTTTGTTGTTACATTTTTACCAAATGAAATGCATTTTTCTTCTCCTCACTGACTAATCACCGTCGTCGGCAACCAACAGTAAAATTCACCGAGTTGTCATGCTCCATTCAATAAAACTAGAAATGATCTCACAGAACCACCGGCTCGCAAGTTGCACGTTTCCCTGTTGTAATCTGAAACTTCCCAGGCTCATTGAAGGCAGCGTGATTCATCGCAGCACCGATGCTGAATTAGCGGGTCCGTTTTGCACGAAATTGTTTGCGTGAAAGTCTTCAGTGTTTCCTTCTTTTGTATGCAATGATGGGGTTGTGGGGCGTGTGTATCATAGTGGTGTAGTTGATGGTGGGGAAGTATCCGTCCACCAGGTCGAAGTCGTACAGGCGCAGCAATGTGGACCAGATGGTTTTGATCTGCACGTAGGCGAAGTTCTCCCCAATGCAGCGATGTCTCCCTGTCATAAAAACATATCAATAAATAAAAAGATCAGAAATTGGAGATTTACTTTCCATGCCCCCCTCGTCCATGTTAGCATCGATTTTTTTTTCTGCACTCACTGTAAAGAAAATTTTACTTTTTCTTTTTTATTTAGTTGATACGGATTTATTTTGCCTTATTTTTTCAGGTGATCTGATAGGGTTGTTATTTTCTGTGAAGTGACAAATATCTCCTAAAAGGCTTGGTTGAGCTGCATTAATCAAATGATTGGTTTATTTTCTTGAAAAGATAAAAAAAAAAAAAACATCAAATAAATGGCCAGTGTTTGGAAAAAAAATGTTGAGCTGTGGCGTTGTAGTATAAAGAGGGTGAGTACCGGCTCCAAAAGGCACGTAGGCAAACTTCTCGCCGGCGGCAGGGTTGTCGTGGAGGTAGCGGTCGGGGTCAAACCGTGTCCTCTCACACCACGTGTCCTGCAGTCGGTGGTTGACAGTCGGGGACACGCACACCTGGTGGCCCGCGGGGATGGTAAACCCTGATGCGGTCTGTGGAACCGTTTGGAGACACTGGAGTTACTTGGAACTTTTTTTTGAGACTACACAGGGAACTAGAACATCTACGTGATGTGCCTTTGCGGCTGTTTTTGTTGGCAGCCGTGTAGGAAATCAACACTGATGGATGTCGTTACCTGTGTAGAGCGAGCCATCCTCATCATGGTCATGATGGGTGGCCGCAGCCTCAGAGTCTCCTTCAAACAACGCTCCAACAGGCTGAGGTCCTTCAACTGCAGACAACGTCATTAATCACGAGTGTATTATTTAATTCATATTTCTTAAGGCGGTGGTACCTGATCCAAGTGGAGGGGGGGCAGGTGGTCGCCGCACACGGCCCTCTGCTCGGCGTAGCAGCGCTCTTGTGTGGCTTTGTCCCTGGCCAAGAAGAAACCCAACCAGGCGCTGGTGGTCGACGACGTGTGCTGACCGGCCAGCAGGAGGCCGATCAGCATGCCGGCGATCTCGTCGTCTGACAGCGGCCGGCCGTCCCTGACAGATGAAGAGGGGGGGGAGTGAATCCCACTTTGAATTCGACCAGCTTTGAGCAGGAATTACATTTTTTCTTGTGCTGTTTTTTTTTTTATTTACTTGTAGGTAGCATCCATGAGCGTCTGCAGGATATCATCCAGTTTCTCCTCAGAGCTTCTTCGCTTCCGGATCACATTGTAGAAGATGTTCTTGATCTCCCGGTGAGCTTTGTCCCGCTTCCTAATGATGACAAAACATCTCAAATCATCCTCCAATCTGTACTAGCACCACAAAAAAAAAAAAAAAAACTCCTGTATTGTACTTTATGAAAACATTCAGGAATAACTTGCATATGTATGTACATTAAGAAAACCGACACAAGTGCTTAATATACTGCAGTAAACTTAACTGGTGGCGCTTTGGCGCCATCTTGTGGAATTCTTGCACACAAGCACAAAAAGAAAATACCACACAAGTTTTACAGCAAATATGTAACTGCTGATAGGTGCTTTAAAAAATGTGAATGGGTGAATTCCTATGCAGCAAATGGCACATACACTCGGGGAAACATTCTTTTATTGCTAATCTGGCCTCCGAGAAAGAAAATACTGCCCAGCGCCACGGTTCCCTGTGATGATGATGATGACGACGTCGTCATGGTCCCACCTGAAGCTGGGCAGTGGCAGCCATCCGGGCAGCAGCCAGGCGGCGTGACTGAAGCCTCCATCCAGGTCGGCGTAGAGCTGAGCCACGTGCTCATCCAGCAGGCCGCGGATGTCCTTGCCGTGTAGGCAGCTGCTGGCCGTCAGAATGATGAGCTCGGATAATGCCTCAAAGAGGTCTGAAAGTAGGAAAAGACTCAGACATGGAACAAAACGTAGTGGGAGATGACCAACATGTATTGTTATTTTTTGGCCATAGAGTATTGATACTGTAACGTCAAATAGATATTTTTGAAATTACAAGTCACAGATATTTTGCAGCACAAATAAGGAGCGGCTCTAAGATTGATGAACGGATTGATCTTACTTTTCTGGCCACTGTCTCCCCATCGTTGAAAATACTCGACGGTCTCCGCCTCGATGATCTTGACGTGTTCCCTAAAGCGAGCGACATTCAGGCCCGTCTTCAGCATCTTCTTTTGTTCCAGAAAGATCTACACCCACACACATAAACATCCATGAGGAGACTTATTTCCTCGTTTTGGATGACAACGTGTATTCCGGCCGATTCTCACTGGGTTGGGGACGTCATAGGCGACTCCTTTGCCAAAGACGGGCGTGGTGAGGCGGGAGTAGACGTCTTCGGCGTTCAGGTCCTCGTTCTTGCTGTTGAAGAGCAGTGAAGCAGCGTCGCTTCCCAAGAGGTACGTGAAGGTTTTGCCCACCATGGTGAAGCTGAACACCGGTCCGTACTGTGGAGGGGCAGAATGTTACAGGTTTAACCATTCGTGCCCATCTCGTTTACTCATTTCTTCTTAGCTGTGAATGTCATGAAGCTTCCCCAGGGTGTTTTTTTTCCGGTCAGATTTTGCAATTTAGATTTGCAATAAACGTGGACTGCACAATGATCTCTATTCGACAAGGCTCAGGCGTGATTAAATTACAGTCATCTTCAACATAGTTGGGAGTCACCACACACCATAAATGGCACCAAAGCAGCGAATAGGTCTTTTTTATTTTATTTTTTTTAATATGTGAGTAACACAGGATAGGCTCCCAAAGAATAACAAAATAACAGAATGCATAGATTATTATTATTATATATCATGAATGTCTAAAATGGACTTACATTGCATCAAATGTCATATAACTTTGTCCATAATGTTTTAATATTAACTAAGATTGAACTTACTTTTTCGTAGGCGTTTTCCAAAAAGTCAATGGGACTTTTGCCAAACGCAACAGCATGCCCCAAGAAGGGGACACTGGAAGGGATGTACGGTGGATAAGTCTGGGGAGAAAACAAGCGCATTTGAATTCAGGTATCACTTTCATTCACTTTAAGACAACTCACCGCATTCTTGTCAGAAGTCTGTCTGAGAAGTATTTTGCTGTAAAAATACCCAAAAGTGAGCATGACCGCAGAAGCAGCCAGAACCAAGGACGTTAGGTTGTCGTTCATTTTGCCCACAGTGTCCCCAAGCAGCTTAGTGCTCATTTGGTACAAGTGCATGGACATGTTTAAAACTTCTGCTCCCCCGGATCACTTCTTGAATTGCACGAATGGATCATGAGAATTTGTGACAACTCCCGTCAAAACTGTTGCAGTGCCGGTGTTGTTTCCCCGCCATCTCTACCTGTCGACGTCGGTGCCGCCCCCGCCTGACCGACAGAAGTTTTCGATTGGTTACTAGTTTCGTGTCTGTCAAGCTACTCCTCTTGCGATTGGCTGCTTCCGTCTGAACCGATCTCGGGTGTTATGATGTCATCCCGTGACCGAACAATAATAAATAACTATTATTGTTTTTTATTTAAAGGCATTCGATACTCATGAGTGAATCTTAGAGTTAATTTATTGATAATGTTTATCCTAAGAAAAATATGAATACCATTTTGGGAAATAATTTACGAAAATAGTTCGTCAGAGATTGGCGGCGCCTTCGAGGTCATCTTATTACGTCACTAGTCCCTCAGAAGATACATTTTGTGAAAATGACTGCTTCGTTGCAATAAAGGTAACTTGAAGTAAACATTAATTGAAACCTAATATGTCTTTCTTGGCTAAAAACAGTATTGTGTTTTACATATTAATTAGCTTAATGGCAAGAGCTTGCCATTAATTTGCTCCAAATTAGCACAATACTGTAACTGAACCGTGTTCCCTAACTTTAACTGAGCCAATGCACCTATTTTACGTTATTAAAAAATATCACGGCAAACCACCAAACAAAAATGTCACTATACATCACTAGCACAGAAGAAACAAATTCATACTGGTAAGTGAAATTGGTTGCTGGCAATCATTAGTATGTATGAATGTTCTTTCTTTAATTAATCGCCTAATTGTGCAAAATTAGACACCATCATATAAAAAAGACCCAACACTCTTATCCAAACATCATTTCATTTATTAAAACAAATTATTAAATAAACATATTTACATAACATGGTAATACAAGATTTGTCAAAACAATCACACATACACATTGAACTTGTGTCAATGAGATTAATACATGCACAAACTGTCCCTTCATTGCAGTCACTTTTTAGTCGGCTTTAAAATGGTTTGGCAGCTGTGTCGTCCAGTCCAGAGCGCTGTTGGTTCAGCCATAAGCGTATTTGTCGACGGCACCTTTGTCATTGGATGTCATCTGTCCGCTTAGCTTCATTAAAAGCTTCACAATGAGGCCAGCCTATCAAAAATGATGGCAGACATTCATGAATACCAGGTAAATAGTTCAAACGTGTCAAAAATAACCGAACGTTTCCACTAAGAAATACAATTGCTCTTTGCTCACTGGGTTGTATTTGGAGACAGCGTGTCAGGATTTGGCCAATGCTGTGTAAATAGTGTGACATGCCACAGAGTAAACAATGGATGATATCCAGCTTTTTGTGTCCTTTTTGTCACAGCATGTTAGGAAAAACCTTCACAATGTTCAACTTTGTGACCTTCACTGATTTGTGCACATTGTAAAATAATAGTTTACCCCCAATTTTTTTAATCCACGGAAGCACTTCAAAATCCCGACCCGCCTCTTCCCTGTAAGTATGACCACACCAAACTCATCGTTCAACTTTGTGACCTTCACTGATTTGCGCACAAAATAATAATTTACCCCCATTTTTTTTAATCCACATAAGCACTTCAACATCCCGACCTGCCTCTTCCCTGTAAGTATGACCACACCAAACTCATTCAGATGAGATTTGATGGACCGCTTTTACCTGTTTGGTGTGCACGATGAAGTTCATTTTGTTCTCGCCGCTATGTACTTGGAAGTACTGGTCAGCGTGTCCCAGCTGCCACATGAATGTGCCGTATTCTAAGCTGATGAGAAGCACCTGAAATATGACAAGGAAGCACGATAACGCCAGCAAATAAAAGGCGGGAAATAAATCGATGAGAACCCGAGATGACGCCACACCTTGGTCTCCATGTTCATGAGGTGTAGCCCTTTGGTGTTGACGCCGACATAGACGCGGATGACCTTGTGGTTGCTGGCGCTGGCCTTCGTATACACCTGGCCAGTGAAAAAGGCGGCGCCGTAGGTGGGGATGTCCCAGCAGTTCTGCAAGAAGAGCCGCTGCAGGTGGTGCATCTCCTTGCTCACGCCTTCGCTGGTGCTCAGTGCCTGTTGCCAAATAAATTCAAAAAAGTTTGAAACGGTGACGGGGAAAACTTGTCCAAACTTCTCAGAGCTTCGACTGTACTTTGTATTCGTGAAGAATCCTATTGGTCCAGTGGTATGCTTTGCTTTTCACTTTTAATATGGGCACAATGGACTTGAGGTTTTCTTCACTGAAAAGAACAAAAGATGAGTCGACCTTTGTGTATAACAAAGAAAACATTCCGATTCAGTCAGCGCTGTACTTGAGGAAGCCCTGCTTGTGCTTCTTGCTCTCGTAGTTGCCGTAGATGATTTGCAGTAGGAAGCTGGCAAGCGTGATCAGCTTGCTGTCGGGAGCCGGAAAGAAGCCTTTCAGCAGGCAGTGCCGGGCCTCGTCAAACAGGATGAGGATGGCCAGTGGATCCTCCACCTGCAGTGAAAAAGTCAAAAATTCTTACTTTTTGGCATTCTTCAGAAAAAAAAAAGTATTTTCCCCAAATCTGAAGCCATGCAGTTTAGCCATGTGACTGACCTTTTTCTCAATCTCCAGGGGCAAGCGGACATCCCTGCGGAGGAAGAGCTGAGGCGTCTCCCTTTGCGGGTCCAGCACAGTCAGGTCCGTCACGATCTCCGTCCAGATGCGCAGGTGCTGCAGAGGCTTGTGGTACGGCTTCAGCTGCAGGTCTGTGACACACACATGCCTGTTATTGCTGCAGTCTACATTATATTCCTCTCTCCGAGAAATATATCTCCTTAAAAAAAAAAAAAAAAAATCTTAAGCCAGGCAATGACATTGAAACACGAGGGTACATCCTTGTAAAAGTGCAGCCTTTAAAGGGTGCGTCCTTTATGATAAGTGTGAATTTATGTATGACGTTAGCGAGCTTGAGGAAGTCTGCTCACGGAGGTTTTCGGAGCAGATCCAGATGGTGAAGTACTGCTGAGTCTCCTGGGACAGACGCATGCCCTCCATGATCTGCTGCACTGTGGTGTTGTTGCCGTGCTTCAGCTCCACGGAGCGATATGAGCCGTCCATGCGGTAGATGCGCACCTTCTCATACTGGGTGGGGGAGGGGGGGGGGGAAAGCAAAATAATGACTACATTATTTCCTGTGGATTAAAAATCTCTGGTGGCCGACAGTACGAAATGACACCCTCTAGTGGGCAATATTCCAACTGCAGTAGGCGGTGGTGGGATTCACCGGTTTGCTGTTGGCTTGCTGGAGAAGCTTCACAGTCTCCTCCCATTCGTTCTGCTTGTTCTCCTCGCACACTTGCAGCGGTGACCGCTTCTGCTGGTCTTCAATGTGCTAACGACCACACGGAAAACGGACGACGGATGTTTAAATACTTTATGAATGTGTGATGTCCCATGAAAGAACAAATAGTGGGACTGTGGACTTTTAAAAAATGGATCTTTGGGTAAAAATACATAGTGCCCCTGAATTCTGCCTGGCAACTAGCATCTGAACCAGGAAAGGTTACGGAGAAATATTTTTTGTCATGGGCATTTTGGTGTACCCGGTCAATCTCGGGATGCTGCAGCAGGAGTTGCACGATGTCACTGTAGCCGCCTCGTGCGGCAAAGTGCAGCGGTGAGCTAAGCTGTCCGTTCAGCAGGTTGGGATTACATTTCCCTTTTTCCAACAGCAGCTTGGTCGCCTCAACTTTGCCATGCCTGAAGGGACGAAGAACAAACATCAATCGACAAAAATGATTTGAAGATGACGCTTGGCTTTGTGGAGCCTCACCAGCAGGCGTAGTGGATGGGGGCCCAGTGGTCGCTGTCCAGCTGCTTGACCGAAAAACCGCTGTCCAGGAGCTTGGTGAGCAGCTCCGTGTCTCCCTCGCAGGCGCTGCGGTGGAGAGGGAAGTCGTCCACCCATTGACGCTCCCTACAAAATAAAAATGAGGATTAAATGACAAACACAGCGGAGGCAAAACTGGAATGCGTTCTCACTTGTCCTCAGCTGTGCAGTTGGCGCTGTGCTGCCACGTCTCCCTTGTTGGGATCTGGATCTTGGAGTAGTCGGGTGCTCCCAGCCCAAAGTACGGATTGATGATAACTTTGTCCACCTGCAGACATGCCGTTATTTTTCCTGTTGTCCCAAGCTACCATAATGGATCAAATGAATCACTGTTCACTGGGGATTGGGACCAAACTGAGCGGCTGTTGTCCCAAGCTACCATGACGGATCAAATGCATTCACTGTTCACTGGGGATTGGGACCAAACTGAGCGGTGAACAGTAAAAATCTGCAAGCAATGACGTTTACGTACGGAGTTAAATCAGCATGTGTCCTTTTACTACAGTCTTTTTTTTTTTTTTTTGTACAAGTATGTGTACTTGTACTTAAATACAGAGTGTGAGTACTTGGGTACTTCTGGTAATATTTGTCTTTGTGCGTACATTAAACCTGGTCTCACCCGGTTGGTGTACTGCAGATCGGAGCCGTAGAGCGGGTTTAGGACGCACATGTCGGCCTTCTCCAGAGACATCATCTTGCTCTTGATCTCCAGTGCCGTGTAGCCCATGTGGAGGCCCCCGTCGCTCACTCTGCCCTCGCCGCCATATGCCGGGTTGCTGACGTTGGTCTTCACCCTTTCCACGGGTGCTGGCCGGAACAGCGCCGGGATGGCGTGAGGCACGGTGTGCTGCTCCGCTAGCCATCTGAAGGGATCAAATGAGCTCGGTGCTTGTGATCAGTTGAAATAACAAAGGTAGTCGGAGTTCAAAGTTTGAGTCAATGCCATGCGAAATCCAAGCTCACTTGTCCAAGGCAAGGAGCATCCTGGCAGTGACGGGGCAGAAGTGGATGCTGGTCTCGCTGCAAACCCTCATGATGTCGTGCAGGCAGTAGAAGCTTGGGCTGCCCGCATTGTGCACTGGTTTGCTGTTGTCTGTTGAGAAGCATTCGTTTAGCCATTTCCACATTAATAATGGGGGGGGGGGAGAGACACAACATGGCAGCTGACGCACACCTTTCACACCAACTGGCACCACGCACAGCGAGGCTTCTTCAACATCGTTGTCCACGCACAGGGAGAATTTCTTCATGTGAACCACACGTTTGCCTGGAATACAAACTGGACCATGAGCCTCGTCTGAAGAGCAAAAGTGAATCGTCACGTGCTCACCGATGAAGCTTTGGTTGTTGGACAAGGGTTTGATGGCGTCTGCAACATAGTCTAAGATGGATTTGGATTGGTCTCCTGCCATTTGGATCTTGGTCGCTGGGAGGACTTTCTTCCTTTTTTTCTCCTTCCCCTCCAAGGGCACTTCGCTCAGCAGGATCTCAACGTGGAGACACACGTAGTGATTCAACCAGCAATCTAATATGTACATAGTATGTAATTTTGTCTCACGAAAGTCCACTGACTCATGCCTAATGCTAACGTAAAATGCAAAGCGCCATAGATGGGCTACCGTAAATGAGACGTAATTATAAATAACATACACATACAAAACAATACTCACAGGTATTGACCTTCCCCTCCGAAAGTATTGGCACGGCAAGATCAATTCTTTTGCTTTTGTTGTTTTATTGCACGCAGTGTTAAACAATTCAGGACAGGGAACCTTTTTGTTTTTTAAGTGTTTGGTACTACACTGAAGGGGCGCGACTCTCAATTTGACTTTGCCTACATCCTGCAAAACGATCGTCTCAAAAATCTGTGATACATCACAAACTGCATAGCTGTGCACTGTGTTTGAATGTATACCTCATAGGCTTTGGCTCTGTACTCCTTGGAGCTGAGACTGACTTGATTCTTGGGCCGAAGGACAGCGACAAACACGTCCTCCAGGCTGTCCTCGTTGCCCATGGTAACGGCTCTCAGGGCCAAATACTGTGGAGAGGCATGACTGGGGCGTCACACGACAGGAGACAACAAACTGTTATTAGGGCTGAAATGGAATCATAGTGACGCATTTTAACCAATGAACACGCCTGTTTTGAGCATTTCCGTGTAAAATGTTTTGGTTTTTTTTTGTTTTGTTTTAGCTTTTGTAGCACTTCCTTGGGCGTTTTATTTGCTTTTAGAATTGCCTGGTCGGCCATAGAAAGTGCTCTCGGCTAAAATTAGGGAATTACAATTTTTTTTCCGACTGCGCATCTCAATTCAACTACTTGTTGAATTTATGATGGCCACGCCCCAGAAACCGCAGCTCTACCGTTCTTACATGCTAATAACACAAAAACTCTCCATAATTCTATAATCACCACAACAGCGAGGGTATTTAAAGCAATGTTTAACAACGCATAGTTGACTTACGTTTACGACAAATAGGTGTTTGTACGTGCTAGCTTTGGATGCTACACGGCATCATCGGTTCAGTCGAGTGGTCAACCTCACCGAAAAGCCAGGCAAACTTACCACCAATTTCCGCGCACTTTCAGAGTCCTGTTCGGCGTTCAAAGTGTCCGCCGTCGCCCTCTCAGGATGGATTTCCAGGGCGATTATTCGAGCAAAAAGTCGCCGCTGGCCTGAAATTTTTGGCCCCTTAGAAAACAAAACTCGCGGTGCGTTCAGATGCCGCCGAGGCGGTAGGACAATAGATGACTTTGAGATCGCGTGGGAGGGCGCACCGTCATGTGTCACAAGATGCCTTCAGGTATCGAGTGTGGCGTTGTTATTGTTTTGATTGGAATGTAAGATACAGTAAACATTTTTCGTGATATTAGAATGGCCCCTTATAATGCAGTTATGTGTTGGTTTTTTTTTACCAGACAGAATTTTTAAAAAAAATCTAAAAGTGCATCTCTTAGTGAACAATGCGATCCTCAAATTACAGTGCACATGTTCGTTGAGAGGTTGCATTCCAGACCCACCCACAATAGGTGAAAATCTGTAAGAGACCATATTAAAAAGGTTTTAATTTATTTGTTTACTTCTCCCAAGTGTGGCTGACAGCTAACTCCCCAGACACTCACACACTGACTAGCTGACATTGAATACTGTACTACCTCACCATGCCCCACCTCTTCAAGGGACACTTGCCCTACAATATGTATCCCTGCTAAAAGGTTATTCACTGTGCAGTAAAACCCATAAAAACTATTCTTATATAGTGGGGACGGACAATGATCCACGATCTTGTGAGGTAAGACTGTATACGCCAATCAACTCATCAATATTTTTATTTGAAGTGATTAAACAGTGAAACAAAAAACATGGCATGGTCAACACAATAACCTAAAAAATAAACAAAGCTGAGGTTACACTTCTTTTGGAATAACAAGATGATTGGTCTGCTTTTCTATTGGTCCACAGCTGGATGGTGGGATTTGACTTGTCGGTCCGGGTTCAGGAAGCAGGACTTTTGTCATCGGAAGGCGGGTCAAGATCCCTGACGTTGCAGATGGTGAGCACCTCCTGCATCTTCTCTTGAATCTCCTGCACTCTGGCAGCCCACTTTTCGCGTACCTCGTCCTCGTCGTCCTCAGTGACCACAGTGTAGGCCATGAGGGCGATGAGGCCCATGTGGAAGAGGTGGGCCACGTGTGAGCAATGGCGCTCCATGATTTCCGCGTCAGCGTTGCAGTTCTCCAGGTAGACCCTCAGCAGGGGCCTGCCGAAGAGCGAGCCAGTGCCCATCACACCACGGTAGTACACGTCCAGGCTGGTGTCCATTTTGTCCCGTTCGTAGATCCGCTCAAAGTTCTCCATGTAATGCTTTGTGTTGTCTGGGTCCTTCTTCATCTGCGCCACCATGGCGTTGAAGGCGGCGTACTGGTGCTTGATGTACTCCTCGTACTTCCCAAAGGTCTCATTGACCTCGTCGATCCGGATCTGCGTCAGGCACTGCCGGTTCTTCTCAGAGATGCTCTCCAGCTTGCTGTGGATGGCCTGGAAGTCCTGATCCAACTCGTGGCCCTCCTCGTCCATGAGACCCTTCCGAGCCACACCCACCAGGGAGGAGACGATCCCAAAGATGGGGTCAAAAGATGAGGCGAAAGAGGACACCTTTTCCACGTAGGTCAGCACGGTGATGGCCGTCTTCTTGACCTTTGAGCTGTCTGCCATCTTGTTCTTCTATTTAAAAAGAAAAAAAAATTCCCACAACAAGAGAGTGTGAAGACGAGAATTTTCAAGGAAAAATCAACACTATTTTTAGAAAACAGAAACTTGTTAGAATGTACGTGTTCATGCAAATCATTTAAAATGTCGCTGACCACTGGCATAAGTTCATGAACAAAATGCAGTAAGCACTTAAATGAACACATTTGATTAATGCAAACTCCATTGATGTTGGTTGAAGCAAACAATCTCATACATTGCACATTTTTCCAAGCAGAGTAAAGAATGTCATATCTAATCCTGAGACTTTTTTTTTTAATTACAAAATGTAATTACATTGTTGATCTTTAGGGAAATCAGTTAATAAAATCCATGTAACTTCTATTTTTTGATACAAATAACATTGGAATATTAAAACGAAATTATTTTGTTTCATCGAATTAAAATTAGTGGATTATAAATAATATAAAATATAATGATCATGTCACCCCACCCACCCCCTAAAAAAATAATTGAATAATTTTTCAATTTTTTTTAATTCAACAGCGTTTGTCTCATATTAATTATATGATAAATCAGAGAAAAGTCATCACTGACAAAACAGCAAGACACAATTTTGTCATCACGCTGCCTGTCTTAGCCCTGTCAATGAAAAGTAACATTAGAGTGTGTCACCATGATAAGGTGTTATTAACTGATTACAAGCCCATTTCGCTTAAACTAAACGCAACTGATGTACAGTAGTTTCGAAGCCCTCTTCCCACCCATTTCCTCATCACCCAAACAATCACTCCCAGCGCCATTCCCTGCCTGTCAATCAACACTCAAACACATCAGCAGTCGCAACACAAATCTCTAGAGGCTGCTTGTTTTTAATGTTTACTCACCAGGGATAAAGCTGCTGCTATCTCTGTGCCTACAGGAGCCGCCTGTCTGCCCAAGCCACCATTTTCCTTTTCCGGCCTACGGAAGAGACAGCCCTTTCCTGCCAAATAAGGGAAGCAAAACCAGGAAGTGACTCATCCTTGCTTTTTGCTGATTGGTTGACGTGCGTCCCCCAACTCCGTACGCCCCTCCCCCCCACTACACGCCTTCTCACAAACGGCCTGTAACACACTAACCAAACGAGTAGGTGACCACACAGGTTTTTCATTATTCATAATCAACGAACATCAGCACACAGATCATTTCAAACCATAACATAAGTGAGGGCAAGTTAGGAAGCTATCATTTTAATAATTCAACATTCAAAAAAGTAGCTTCGATGCCAATAACGTAAAATCCTTTATAAGCGACAATTTTTTAAATGGTTTATTAATTTTTTTGTAATAGTACTCGCATAAAGGGAAAGGGTTAAAAGTCCTTATAAAGTTGCATGAGCCTTATTTTGCACATAGATTGCGTTCCTGCTATATTTGAGCATGTTAACATTTGAACAATTCTAATGTAGCACTTAACACAACAATACCGATACAAGCATCAATACCACAAGTGCTTTCTCTGCTCAGCTAAATGTTAGCATTATCTCAGCACACTTTTACATTATAGCACACACTGAGGCGCAAAATGTTCCAGTGATTAACATTACGGGTCCACTCAGGTTTTTATCATGCTGCCGATAAGCATCCGAGCTGTTAGCATTATAAGAATTTCCAACCCAACAGATTAGGAGGCCCTTGAACCTACATACACATCCACCTTTTCCTCTGTATATTAAAAAAAGCAAAAGCGGCTCATCTTACATGTTAATGCTTGATCTTGCAATATCTAATCTCATCTCGCAATAAAAGAATAAAAATGATATTCAGAGTTTGAATTACAGTGCCATTTATTACTTCCTCCTTCCCCATCACATAAACTTTGTATGGGATATCTAACACGGTCTGTAAAACTACCCTTCTTTGGTAATCTGCTTTCACTTTATCGTTTTCATTTTAAAGGAATCTTTTGTATGGTTTTTTTGGTTTTTTTGTGCATACCATGAGTACGCAGTTGGTACCAACAGCTAAGCAAACAGTATTGGACAAGGACAAGGCAGTTATGCAATGTTTGAATTCCTTTTTAAGTGATAAAACAATAATCAAACATCTGCACACACGAACAGAACACGCATGCACACTTGCACACAGACACACACACACTTATCAGAAATTCACATTCAATGTCTTTCTCATAAACAAAACTGTATAGTAACACAGTGACATAGCCGGAACCAATAATGGGAACAAATACACGAGATGACTGAATGCTCAAACCCAGCGGGTGATGAATAGGACACACACACACACACACACACACACACACACACACACACACCCTCTCACACAGGCCCCTCACCTCAATGTAGAGCTCAGCTGGTCAACTCTGTTATTTCCCACAATAACACCTCGTGGCTGTGTCCACTCGGGCGGCTGGGCTGACGCGAGGCTGAGCACCTCTTCTGCTTTTAGGTACGAACCCCATCACACCATCATCATCATCTTCACACGATAATTATCATCTTCATATCATAATCATCATCATTTCATTCTCATCAATTTGTCTGTGCTATAGAAAGTTTTAGCATTCACTAGCCCGTCTATGGTGTTTTGCATTGTTCATTAACATTAAGCTAGTAGATTTCCAAAGGCACGGTTTGGTGGTTGTTTTAATACACTGCGTGAATTCTCTTTTTTTTTCTTTAGTTTGACTGTAAACTTCAACTGGGAGTGCTTGAAGGCCCCTTTTTTTTAGCAGCATTTCAAATCATTTGTGTGAGTTGATTGTGGTGATGGGCAGCACGGTGGTCGATTGATTAGCACATGGGCCTCACAGTGCAGAGGTGCAAGGGGTTCAATTCCAGCTCCGGCCTCTCTGTGTGGAGTTTACATGTTCTCCCCATACCTCTGTGGGTTTTCTCTTGGTGCTCCAGTTTCTTCCCACATTACAAAAAACATGCATGACAGGCTGATTGAACACTCTAAATTGTCCCTAGGTGTGAGCATGTTGTTTTTAATTTTTTAATTCAATGTCTAAATTGCAGGAGAAACTTTGCATCAGCACTGGGAAACAATCGGGAACATGTGGTGCAAAATCATCAAGCTCCTGCTCCTTCTGGGGTGAGTCTTTCGAAATACACAACTTTAATTTGACAGCTTTTGGGAGTCAAACACTGTTTTGTTTTTGTTTTTTTAACCACTTTTTTTTCAAAAATTGAATAATCAGTTTTAATTATTGAATAATCTGCCATTTATTTTTAAGGGCAGTGTCATAAAATGAGTTAAAATGATTCATGGTGATATATAACAGCAAATAAAATTGTCTCTTTGTTGTGGTAGCATATCCGGTTTGAGCTGGTGTGCAGTCCAGCGACCAGACTACGATGACACGGCCACCCCGGAATTCCTTAACCCGTCCTGGATGGCAAGCATCCCAGACGAGCGGCCCCTGTCCGAGCTCACCATGCCTGGCACCCATAACACCATGGCACTTTACGGCGGCGTCTACGCCGAGTGCCAGACGTGGAGCCTGAGTTCGCAGCTGCGCGCCGGCATCCGCTTCCTGGATGTGCGGGTGCGCCACGTGAAGGGCAACCTCACCATCCACCACGGGGTGGCCTACCAGCACACCCACTTCGGCCACGTGTTGGAGGGGGTGCAAGACTTCCTGGCCAGTTACCCAAGCGAGACGGTCCTGATGCGCGTCAAGGAGGAGCTGAGCGAGACCGATAACATCTATGGGGCAGTGGTGGAGCACGTACGGCGCTACGCCCGATGGGAGATGCTGTGGCACAGCCGTCTGGTGCCCACCATGGGCCAGGCGCGAGGTAAGCTCATCATCCTGCAGGACTTCCTTGGGCCGGACTTAGGGATGCGCTACGACTCCTTGGACATCGCTGATGACTGGAAGGTAAGATAAAAAAAATCCTTGATTGGTCCCCGGAGGGGAAATTCAGCAGTTGCAAATAATTTGTGTTTGAAGTAAAGCAGGCATTCATGTTCTCAAAGGTTCCAACACTCCTGCATGTGGAGGAGAAGTGGCAGAGTGTCTACGAACACTTGGAGATGGCGCCCGTGGGGAACAAGGACCAGATCTTCCTCACCTACAGCAGCGGCACTGGTATCTTCGCCGTTCCAAGGGCTGTGGCACAACGTGTCAATCCTCAGCTGTATGACTACTTGAGGGCCAAGACCGACCTGAACCAGCGCTTTGGAATCATATGCATGGACTTCCCCGCTGCTCCCTTGGTTCAAACCATCATTGACTTCCAGCTCAAGGCAGGAATGGAGAATGCATCGTTGATGCAGCCTGCCTTGCAATTCTAATCACGAATAAACCCAAAGGAGAACTAATCCCTGTTTTAAACACCGGTTGGTGCTTCAACAAGTCTCTTCTTCCTCCCGTAATTATTAACATTACTTATTTTTAAAAATTACCCTGCATTTAAATGAACAAAACATACAGCTGAAAGATTGTTTTTTTTTAAATGACAAAATGTGATACCGTTAAATTAAAGTAAAAATGAAATATTACACCGCTAAACAGTGAAACAACAAATGAATGTGAATCAAAGTAAATTTAAATTTGAAAAACATCTCAAAATACAGTAACGATACTGCGGGAACCAACTGTAATGGCATTTTGGGAACACAAGGTGTCACCCTCTAACTTGTTTTCCAGAAGGTTATCGAGAATAGCGCTGCAATTTGAAGCAGAGAAGACAATGGTGAGAAAAAAGATTTCTGAAGTCAGCTTTTGTGTTTTTTCCGGTGGCGATTTCGGAGTAATCGTTTTTGATCATTTTTCACACCATTTACGATTCATACAAAACTACTCTCCACAAATTACTTTTAAATCCTTCTCACTGCTACCCTTTGTATTTGTTCGTACTTTGTTGGTTGACCTACATAATTAATATGAGTGTACAGTCTATATACCCCCCCCCACCGCTCCCAGTCCAAATGCTCGATTTTTGTGATAGAAAAAAAATGCCTCAGAAATTATTTCATCTATTTTAGTTGAACACCATGAATATTTCCCCCCTATTTATTACTCACTGACAGTGCAAGTTTGGGCCACACCTGCTTTAATGGATTCTATCTTTACTCAAGACGTGTCCTTTTCCTTTTACTTCTGTATTGTTTTCCTAACAGTTGTTATTTAGAAAAACACAAACAGCTGTCCAAACACGAAGCGGGTTGGCTAACGAAATACACATGCTTGTGACGATTTTCAAAAGAATTTCCCCCGAGGTTATCCATTCCGTTCGCTTGATTCATTCATAAAGTGGGCGGGTCTTGCATCGGCGTGTGCACGCGCCCGCGTGCGCGCGCTTGCCCGCCTCGCTCCCAGCGGCGGCCATGTTGGAATGTTGGATGTGGACGGGGACGGGGGCGGGGAGGGGAAGCAGGAACAGCCGAGCGGGGTGCGAGCGAAGGTCGGGGAGAGGGAGACACATCCAGGGAGCGAGATTGCGGCGACACTCCAGAGAGATCGGAGCGATTAAAACGCCGCCGACAACTACTTCGGGCTCCCGCGGTTCACCTAGCGGATTTTCCAGCAACTTCTGCCTGTTTTTAAAGTCAACAGAAGCCCTTAAAAGAAAGTAAGTTGACATTTTGATTTCACTTTTCGGGGAGGTGTTACTGTATTTATGGAGCGAAAAGGAAATGATGTAGTGTTCGTCGGATCACTTGTTTCAACGCTCGAAAACTTAAGTGTCCCCCACATTGTCACTACTTAAAGTGTTAAATACGAGTGGAATTGGTGTTTTATTGGCAACGGAATTGTGGCAAAGTATGTTCGGAGCAGTATTAGTCTCACACAGTCACATGGAGAAACGAGAAACGTTACCTCCACTCTGACTGGATTAACCCACTTTTGTGTTCCCAAATCTCCCTCCCAGGTGCTTCTTTGGTCCTGACGATAAACACTACTAATACTGAGAATTATCTAAGGTCAACTTTTAAACAAGTTAAGAACACCACAAACCACCCCAGCCCACCTTGGACCGTCTGGTGCTACATTAGACCGCATTTGTTCCCCCCAAACCCAGTTAACTACTTTCCGTCCGAGTCACCTTAGTTAGCTCTGTGTGCAAAAAGATTATATTTATAAACGAGACAACACTTTTATCGACGATTCCTGTCATATAGGTCGCATTTTTCCTGTGACAACTATGAAAGTAATTTTCTGTGTAACCATATTTATTAAACGCGAATTCCAAACATTCATAAAGTTCGTAATCTGTTTCCTGTTGTCGAAAGATTGCTATCAGAAACTGACTACTCGTTATCATGATATTTTTCCTTTCGTTAGTTCCAAATTAAGTTCTCCGGGTACTCAGAGTTTCTCCCGCATTGCAAAAACATGCATGGTAAGTTAATTGAACAGTCTCGATTGGCCTTAGGTGCAATTGTGAGTGTGAATGGTTGTCTGTGAGTGCCGTGCAATTGGCTTGCAACCAGTTCAGGGTGTATCCCGCCTGCTGCCCCAAGACAGCTGGGATAGGCTCCATCACGCCCGCAACCCTCGTGAGGATAAGCGGCTCCGATGATGGATGGATGGATGGATGGATGGATGGATGGCTGTACCTGTGGTCAAAAAGCAAAGTGTGGGGATTCTCTTTTATCCAAATACACAAATGCATTCAATGAATGAGGCCATCTTTGCTGACCGCCTCTCATCAAATTTCCATACGCTCTCCTTTTTTTCTATCACCCACTTGTCTCTAATCTTAAAAAGGTTAAGGCCTAAAATGGGTAACTTCCGACTATAAATCACCTCGGCTATTCCCCACATGCTTCTAAATTGTGCGAAGCTGAAAATTTTAAAGCACTCACTGGAGTGATTATTTTTAATTAGCGGCAGTGTCACATTACGGATGTGCCGTGTGTAGTTGCGGCACCGTTTGCCCTCTGCTTCATATTCCAGATGCAAGCAAATGATAATGAACTGCAGTATCCACTCGAGATGCAGCCTCTGAGCACTAATATGAGTTCTTCGTCCTTAGGTGTGCATACTGCAATTTTTTTACACGGCTCGTGATCTGCAGCGCTGAAGAAATACTGTGTTGATGCTAACGTTCTTCAAACGTTCAACACTTTGGTGTTGGCTCAGGTCGACATTGTGAGTGGACCATTCAGGTGATGTGCATCGTGGTTCTTCATATAAACAGATTAGTATTGATCCTTAAATGAATGCCCAATAAGCAATCGTTAGTGAAAGGGTGAAGAGAATCTGATTAGTTAGGGTTGACAAACAAGGAAATCAGCTCCAATGGGAGGGAAAAAAGTAGATTCTTCCTTAATAAAACATTCTTCAAGTATCAATGTATACAAAAAACATATAACTTCAATCTATTTTCCAGCCAGAAGCCAGAGACTGTTTGTTACGCGTGGCGGGGCTTCCCGGTTTCTACCTAATATGTCCCGCTTGGGAACCCTGCATCTGATTGAAAAATCTGAACGTGACAATGGCTTAAAAGCACCCAAAATTTTGACCCACCCCTTGGGGTGTTTGACTTTCCGGGGTTAACTGTTACTGTTACATTTAAGTTAAAATATACCCCCCCAAAAAAGAAAAGTAAAAGCGCTTAACTCTATAAAGACACCGAACAGATAGATAAGCAGGATCAGGAAATAGTTTGGTGACAAGCTTCCTCCCTTGCTTTCATGTTAGTCTTTTTGATGTTTGTGTCACATGCTGCATTGCGAAGTCCCGTGTGACTTAAAACGCATCTTTTTTCGACAATTCGCCGTAGAACTTCAAAATGTACCACTTGACACGTGTCGTCAGAGGCTTTATAATTTTATTCAAATTACGATCCTTTGTAAATGTTTTCTCGTAAGCGTCTGTGACGCATTCCGCAATGGTCAACTGATTTGACTCTTTTCATGTGGTTGGCTACAGCTGGCTAATACAGGCGTGTCCGTCGTGTGTGTGTATGTGTCTAAATTGCAGAGCACTCGTTGTATTTATAGTAACACTTGACTACCCTCAAAGATCCAACAGTCAACCCCCTGTCGAAAACTCTTGTCGCAGTTGTCCTCTTCCTACCGACCAGGTTGTCCCCGGTTTCTTGCATTCCATTGAGAGAAACGCGCAAAAGGGCGACAAAGGCGGCAGTCTCGTGTGGCATGACTCCAGACTGTGACGGCAATCACTCGTGTGTTCGAGGAATGCCGAGTTCCTGACTACGTTTGTGTGTCCTTACTACATGGGTATGCCAATTTTATTCCCAAGACATGTGACATCTCGTTTGATGCTTGAGCTCCAAGTTCTGTTTGACTTTTGGGCCATTTCGCTTTGGAGGTGTGCACTAGTGGTGTTGTGTAAAAAAAAAAAAAAAAAAAAAAAAGATGCTCGGAATGGTCGCAAGCTATAAAGTGGTTCATGAAGTGTATGTGTGGATGAACTCGTGCGCAGGATAGACTGCAGTCGGCCACAATGGCAGGAAATGACATCATCGCTAATGACCCAAGCCCTCCTTGGGGGCATGCACATACCCGGACGCGTGCACGAAAATACCCACTCTGCAACTCTTTTCGTCTCGGTGTTCCTCTTGAGCTTCTTTTGCACAAGAGGACGACCTCAGGTGGCCGAAAACAGCCAGTTTGACTTCTATTTCTCCCCCCGCGCCCCTTTTTGCTGAATAACACCAACCCCAGCTTTAAACCTTTATGCGATCCTCACCCGAGTCCCTTTACTGGCAATTTGAGGACAGCCATAAAGATGGATCGTGCGCGCATATACATTGAAAAAGCTCTGTCGTCCAGTCACGAAGGTCCGTGGTGCTGCTTTGTCAGCGCATGATGAATAGAGTCGGAACGTAGCGATTCCCTCTCGCGGGGACCTAAAACGAGCACAATAGGACATAGTGAGGCGCACATCTTGTAAAGTAGTTGCCCTTTGCGCGTGAGATGGAGGGAGTAATTACACGTCATCGAAAGAAAGAAGTCATTGTCATCGAGACGGGAAGAGAATCGAGCCGAGGTGAAGACGAACGGTCGGAAAAAAGCAATGCAAGATTTGACTTGGGGTGGAAAAGGATCCACGCGTGTGAAATCACTTGCAGCTGTCTCGATAGAAGGATTTTTAAAAATAGGAATGGGAGGAACTTTGGGCCTTTTTTGACAGGATGTTTATGTTTTCACTTCCTATTGTTCTGTAAAATATAAATATAATTTTTTATACACATTCCTGCTCTCTGTGGCCCATTGTGTGGTGACAGCTAAAAACGTCTCAGACACGCTGGGAACAGATATTCCCCAACTTCAATGAATAGTTTCAACTTTGAAGGGGAAAAAAAATGGTTTAGATAACCAATGTGGTTTTTTTTTTTTTTTTTGTGGACACTCAGCCTGAGAATACCAATTTTTTTTCTTGACCGAATAGTTTTTATAAAGTGTTATGGCAATGCTATCGCGATATTTTGAAGGCCTTTTTTTCAAAACTCGGCCATAGGGAGTACGCGAGGCCAAGCCCAAGTTACACATCAGCGTCTGCTCGGCCAATCATATGACCTCATCTTTGCTACTTATGCTCCACCAGCACGCGCGCACACACACACACACACACACACACACACACACACACACACACACAGAGTCAGAATAGAGAACATCTTCAGTGGAACACCTGGATGCAAGCCAGAGTTATGACATCACAGTCGCACGTTTGGAGACTGCGCAGACATAACTGGCATGACCACCGGTGAGGTCAGGCATGGGTAAATTGCCACTGTGTCTGTATGTGTGTGTCTGTCAGGGTTTGAGTGTGTGTATGTGTGTGTGTGTCTGTCTGGCATCGCCATGAGTCACCCGCAAACGCTGTCCTTTTCACACAAAGGTTCATTGAGCAGCGGTCTTCACTCTCCAGTCTCCGAGCTGGTTCCAACCTGTTTTAAATGTGATGATTTTTCAACTATCCGCAGGCAGGAGAGCGCCGGTTGAATCAACAACCTTTTTGGATGCGTTTTAGACTCGCGTTGAAATCGCCTTGCCACTAGGGGGCAATGTTACTACACGGGGCCCTTGAATCCGGCCGGACGGAGACACAGCATCATCGACTGTAGGTTGGATGTGAGTGTGTGACATCTTGGCCTAGTGACATGGGGCCCTTGAATCCGGCCGGACGGAGGCGCAGCATCATCGACTAGGTTGGATGTGAGTGTGTGACATCTTGGCCTAGTAATCCGGTGGCCCATTAATCTGCTTTCCTCTTGAGCAACTGCGATTCTTGCCTTGCGGCCAGTTTGCCAAGCGCGCGTATGCGTTTTATGTCCGAGAGCAAAGGGATTGTCAAATATCAGAATACACACAGGATATTACAATCCAGTTCTCTCAAGTTTATAGTCTGCCACGATGACCCACACGAACTTCATATGTCATCTCTTATTATGCATCCCTGTGTTGTGATTAAACTGCGCTGGCAAGATTGGACGGAACGGGATTCTCGATAGGCAGTCAAGTGAACAGCGGGAGTGTCGCTCTTTTCAGTCGAGCAAGCGAGAAAGTCACATTATGACTAATGGAGGAGCCCCTCGGGGCGGCGTTTGTGTCAGAGAGGCGGAAGGTCTTAAAGGCAAATGGCGCAGGCGCACACAAGCCTGTTTTCACAAGGATTTTTGCGGGATGCGAGGAGGTGAGACATTCACGATTGACATTTGCCGGTTAGCCGCTGTGCAGCAAACCTGCGCGAGAAAATAGGTCACATTTTTGTTTGTACGGTTTTTGGAAGTTTACGACACTAACGCAGTAGTGTCAAGTCAAAATTAGAGTCAATATTTTGATGGGAAAACAACCTGAACAAGTTTGCGACCATTCATTAGCGCCACCTGCAGGACTGGAACAGCATAACAGCGGGACTCACAACTGCTTTTGAAAGACTCTTTTGAAAAAGAACCTGTCCTGGTCCGGGTCTGGTCGAAGGGAGACGTGGTCCTGCTTGCTTTGTGTCACGTGCAAACCGCCAACCCAAACTCCTTCACTTCCAGTTTGGTGGCCTCACTCGTCTGCCACGTTTGCCGTGCTGGAAAATAGTCTCGTATAAACCGCTGAAGCTTTTTAATTTCTCGCTAAAATTTTTTTTTTTAATTCACCTCCATCACGTCGCAGTTTCTCTCTCGCCTCCCGCTTCTGTCAAGTCACCGTGACTCGTACATCTGGCTGCCTTTCCCCCTTCATCCCTCTCCTTGTGGACAAAGATATGCCCCTCCCCCTTCTTCCTCCTCCATCCAGTCGCTCATCTCCCTCCCCCCCCCGTTAGGAACTCCTCTCTCTCGCGTTTTCTTTCTCTCCCTCTCTCCTCCTCCTCTTCCCCACTCGCGTGTATTCGTAGTTGTAGTAGTTGTAGCGCGGGATTAGGAAGGGAGGGGAAGGCCAGTTTGTAAACTGACACAGTGACCACAGAAGCCCGACTGGGATTTGGGCTTTCCCAGTATAGCCTCCTTTCATTTGGTTCGTGGAGGAGAAATCTTCTTCTTTTTCCTCTCTTCTCGACTCCTAAATGGAGGGATTATACCATGGTAAGATTTATCGCAAGGTGGGGATTTCATACACGGCTCGTATGCATGTGTCACCTTCTATTTGCTGAAGATGAAGAGTTCAGTTTTGAGCAGCGCGGGGAAACCGGAGCATTAAAATACATTGTGAACGCGCGCTGACTGGTTGGAAGCGTTGTTGTCACTTGGTGACACTTCGGATGTCGGAAGCGGCACTCCTCGGAATTGATTCAAGCGTTCGTACGGTGGAAATGCAGTTGAAAAGAGGTGACATAATCCTCTTTCCTCTCAATCGAGGCGCGCGTGTGTCAAAATGTCACGTGTGCATGTCACGGGGAGGGTCCAAGTGTGTGCATGTGTGGGAAGTTGTGTGTGGTGGTGGGAGTGGATATGGACGTTAAATTAGAGGTTTGTGTTGTGCATCCTTCGATGGGCTATTCCTGCTTTTGTCTTGTATGCGGGCAATATGTTTGTTTCCGTTTGCGCCATTTTGTTTGGAGGCCTTATGACCCAAGGCCCCCCCCACAGAGAACCCAGCAAAAGTTATTCATCTCTATGTTACGACATATGTAGCTTATTCTGCGCATGGCGTATTAAATACGATTTCGCCAATTGCTTTGGCAGGGTGTGCAAATCTAATAAGGTATCTAATTAAGTGATGGGACAAAACGCAGGTTATCATGTCCCGGTCTATTTAAACAACACCAACATTTGCTTTCAGCGCAAGAGAGAGGAAGCAGTGAGTTTCGTACCCGTGACCCACCTTAGCTCCGTCTCGATGCCGACCCGTCCTGCCTCTGTGACGGCCCCCGTACCAGCTTCAAAAGTCCCCAAATTTTTGGAGGAAGGCGTTTTCTGTTTGGCTGTGTACCTGCTTGATGATCAATAAAATAGCTTTTCACATTTCAAAATAGGCGCAGGAATCATGTTGGAACCGTCTTGTAGTTTGTCAAAACCTGCTCTGAGGCGCAACATGAGGCAGCGGGGCATTGAGGTGGACCGCATACATAACGTGCGTGCGGTGTATACCAATAAAAAGTGAAAAGAACTTTTTTTTTTTTTTGAAGCGTCACAAGAACATTTTGTGACTGTTAATTATTATTATTTTTTTTTGTCTTTCTTGGGGTGTTCCAGCATGACAAGAGCTGTGAAATGTGCATAGGGAGGAAAATGTGCAAATCATTAACGTCATACCATAGGATTTATCGTTATTGGAGGCTCTTTCTGCCGCCGCCGCGCACACACACACACACACACACACACACACACACGCACGAGTTTCATATTACACAGCGTCGGTCGATAAACTATACGACCTGAGTTGGCACTTCCTCTCTGTGGCCTTTCCTTGCATGACATCATCTTGGTTGATGACCCCCTTCTGTCATTTCACTCCAAGCTTGTGTGAGCGTGCGTCCATACTGTATGCCTGCGTACTCGTATTGTGTAGCCCCGGTTGTCGAAAGCACTTATCCTCTTGACCCGACACGGAGGGGATCAGTGACGCCTTGACTGCGTGGTGAAGTATCCCAAAGACCACTCGTGGACTTCCTGTGGGAGTTTGAGAGCTTGAGTGAGGCATTTATCGTCATGCATCGTACCTCAGTCTTCAGAAAGACAATCTGATGCTGAGTGGCAGCGTCTCATTGTCTACAGAGTGTCATGACTTTTTTTTTTTTTTTTTTAAACCTTAACCCTTTTGTGATGAACATGCTTTTTATTTGTCTGTCTTTCAGATATCTCCAGGATTGCCTACTACACAGGTGAGTGGCTCCCCTCCCCCTCCGTCTCTTGCCTAATTTTATGCTCATTATCATACAGCTGTTAAAGGCTCCGGGGGTGGGGTGTGTGGAGGGTGAGGTGACCACCAAAGATTTCCCCTGACGGAGAACAGTAATTTGTTGGCGGTGTTATTCCGAGGTCAATGCACCGCGAACGGCTCTCATTCGAGAGTAGCAGGTTCCTTTCCGGTCGCCAAGTTCATCCCCCAAAGACCGGAGGGTGCGAAATGAAGTGAACGGAGCAGTCGAGCGCATTATTGATGTGCACTGCCATCAAAGTCCACCCATCTGTGTACCAATCGCAAATTCACGCGTGCGGCCAAGCGAATGCGGATGACAACAATTTTTTGATGAAAATCAAAACAAAACAAAATACTGAAATATCAAAGCAATGCAGCATGAAAGGAAACATGCCTTTTTGGGGGGTGTTTTAATGACGCCGTCCAGTGTGAAGAATTACCGAGCACTTCTGCTGTATTTTCACTTGCACCAGAAGCACTTCAATGAGCTGCTGAATTACAATTAGATTCGATGCGTATATCTGAGTATGTGGCACAAAGAGCGAACACATCACCAAAGACAAATCCTGCCTTGAAAAACGACCTAATCCACGCCGCCAAAATAATTATTTGGTCTCGTAATTTCGCACTTGATGGGGTGTGCAGGCACCCCGGAGACCCGACCATTTGAATGCAATGGCAAAGGCAAATCATGGCCTGCAAAACGGAAGTTGAAATCTGCTAGGCAGTGTCCTTGAGCTCTGTCGCCCACGCCTGCACTGAGATTCTAACCCTGAACTGAGGTGTGAGGCAGACATGCATACCACTCGACCACCGTGCTATTTTATTGAACTCTTTGACGTTGTCCAGTCGCCATCCGAAAATGATCCCCCTCTCCAGCGCTCCAGAAGGCCCTGCCGTCACCCCGATGGGTAAAAGTGGGAGGGGTGTGCATTGAACAGTCCAGTGTTTTAGTGATTGGCATATTTCTCCTGTTCCTCCTTTCGCCGCGCTCCCTCTCCCCCGTTCAACTTTCACCCGTGCCGCGTTTGTCCTCTTCCTGTCATTCTTCCCTGAGACAATGGTCGCCTTCCCCGTCGTCCCCGCATCTCTGCTTCTGTCTCTCTCTCTCTCATTGCGCGCCGCGGTTGCCCGAATGAGAGGACGTCTTAGCATTGGCGCCTCGCTAATCGTCTAAAGTTCTCTTCGCTGGCCTGAAAAAGTTGGATTCTTTTTTTTTTTTTTTCCTGTGAACTATCATCGCAACAGGAAGAAAAGCTATCCAAATTCCCTCCCAAATGACGGCCGCGTCACACTTCCACGGCAACGGTGTAACTATGGAGCGCGGGCATGGGGTCGGAACGGCCCGATAACAAACAGTGCGCTTGTCGTCAGAAAAAAGGGGGCCGTCGTGGGGAGCGACGAAGAGAACTTTTCCGGACTCTGAGGATCTCAGGCTTAAAGGACTCGCATGTGACATTGTCAGAACGGCCATCTCGGAAAGGATTTGCTCCGTTTTGCCGCTGGAAGCGGCGGATCTCGCGCGCTCGTTTGCGTCACCGTCGCTCGGGACGAGGTGCGGCGTCATGCGTGTTTGTGAGGCTGCCAGCTGCCTGTCTGTGCTCAGCGCTGACGGACACAGCCAGAGACTGACATGCGTTTCCGTGGTGACGAGCGGCTGTAGCCCCTTTCCCATATGTTGGGGCCAAGGTAGGGCAGTAATTTCCCTAATATGGGGACTCAGCTAAAGTGAGCGCCACTTGTCCAGCATTTTTTTGTTCTCAAATTAAGCCCCCCCCCCCCAAAAAAAAAAAAAAACAATAACTGAGAGACAAGCTTTTGTATATTGCGGAGGAGTTACGTTTAGCCTGTGCTATAGTCGAAGAAATTTTGAGAGCATCTTCTCTGCGTGCAACATCTGCACTTCCTGTGCATATTTTCAAACTCAAATAATCTGTAAGCATTTTTTTTTTTTTTTTTTTTTTACAGGGAACAAGAGTTCGAAATGCTCTTCAAGTGTTGTGGGATCATCGTTTTGAAGATAATGATAGTTTAAACATTTACCATAGACAATTTTAATCATTTAGATAATCAGTTTTCTTCCCTCCGCACAAATACGTCCAACACAAGTCAAGACACACACATGACGACAGCAGGCATTCCCGTATGAGTTTAATTCCAGGAAGTTTGTCAATGTCAGGAAAAATAACCGCCTGCGGTCCATTGTCTTGCTTTGGTCGTCGATTGGATGAGCCCAAAGAATCTTAACGCGGGAAATCATTCGCTTGTTTTCCAGAATATGACAGACACTTAGCTGCGGCGGTGTCAGCAGGGAAGACCATGGCGACGCCCTACATGGATCCCAATCTCAATCACGCCCTGCTGGACGGCGGCGCCAAGTCGCGGCTCAGCGCTGGGGGGTCGGACCGGACCGCTGCTGGATCTGTGGACCGGGTCCTGAAGGTCTTCCACCACTTCGTGACCAACACAGAACTCAGCAGCTGGTCCTCGAACATCCGATACGGGGATGCTACCGATGTCCGGGTAAGATTTGGACTCTCCGCTCGTAAATGACCACAACCTTCAAGTCTTCCACTGCAAATATGGTTTTAAAATGAGTCTAAAACCGAGGACCCCCTTGTACCTCAAACTGCACCACTCAAACAGTTAAGCGGCCTCCCTTTATATCTGGGTCACCCCCCCCCCCCCCCCACGCCTGCCAGAGTTTTTACATGGCAACACACATGCTCCTCTGAGAATTAATTTGCATGTGACGTCTGGCAGCTTGTTTGGGCGTGGACGTCATCTTAAATTTGTCGAAATCGGAGAAAGGCACGCATGTGTCTGTGTTTAATCCAGCTCGTTTCATTTTATTTTGCTGAAGTGAAGATCATGTCACAGCGTTGCCTCCTTGTCAACAGGGAATCATCCAGAAGATCCTGGATATCCACAAGGTGCGGTGGACGTCGTGCTTTGGCCTGCGTCTCAGCAGCAGCGGCCAAGCCAAAGACCAAGTGCACTGGCTGCATCCCGACATGGGCGTGTCGCACGTCCGAGAGAAATACGAACAGGCGCGCCCCACTGAGGAGTGGAGGTGAGTGAAGTTTGAGGTGGAGATTGAGCCAAAGCGCACGATGCCCCTTTTGCTGGATGCGGTTGAAAGATTCATCTGCAGCATCTCTCTGTGGATGAGGAAAAGGTGTATCATTTATATTTTAAATCAAGTCGCGGGCGCTGGAAAGGATCATTGGTATGAAGTGCAGCCAGTTTACATGACACACACAGTAAAGGGCACAGTGGAGCCGTACAGTGGTGCACTTAGGATAGATTAGAACCCTGAAACTCAGGATTATGAGTCAGATATCCACGAGGTCTGCCATCCCCCCCCAAGACAAAAACCTGACAAAGCAACAGCTCGCTTCCTTCAGTAGTCTGCCTGTATCAAACGGAAAAGAACCAGGAGTGATTTACTGGAGACGCCTCATGCAAAATCCAGCGGGCGCCGTCTGTCGTACGGTGGATTGAAAGGCTCGTGGATCACTTTTATTGTGGCGGTCGCCGCTAATGCCATTGTACATTTTGGACCTTTGGCACTGTGGACTTAACAAAGAGAGAAGGAAGCAGATGTCACCTTTGTCCGACAAAGTCAACAACTCTTTTCATGCTACCCTCTGATTTGTTTTGGGAATTGCATGACAGGCCGGCTAAAAAAAAAAAAAAAGTCCGTAGGTTGCCCACCCCTCTTGAAACAATCACATTTCTTCCCTGCAGGTACGAACTGAGGATCCGATACCTCCCGAAAGGGTTCGTGCAGCAGTTTACAGAAGACAAACCTACACTCAATTACTTCTACCACCAGGTACGGACACACAAACGAACACACCCGTCACGCATTTCATCTTTCAACATGAGACATATGGCGTTGATTGCCGACTGTGTACTTGCCCGGAAGTCATCTAGGTCAGTAGGACTGGTTGTGTTTGTCAGAGTGCCATTTGTTGCTCGGCGATATAAATATGTCAGTGTCTTTAAATAAACATATGCGTTTGTCGCTTACATGTGTCATTTGGCACCTAGGTGAAAAATGACTACATGGCACAGATCGGGGATCAAGTGGAGCAAGATGTCGCCCTTAAACTGGGTTGCCTGGAGATCAGGTGAGATAGACCATGAGTAGCCAGCTGTTGTTTAACCCCTTTCAGGTACAGCGGTTAGTTACTCCAGTGGACGGCTTATTATGTTATCGGGTTACAGGGTGCATGAAAGGGTTAAGGGGAAGTACAACAACGATAATCATTTGTGGCTCTCTATTGAAAAGAATCTCCCAGTATTGATTTTTTTTTTTATCCAAAAGGCAACACACAAAAAATTAGTTTCTCTTCCTCAGAACCGCTGACAGATCCGAAACCTGCTGTTTAGCGAGGATGATTTCATGCTCACGCGGAGATGCTCTGCTCTGATTTTCAGGAGGTTCTATAAAGAGATGAGGGGAAACGCCCTGGACAAGAAGTCCAACTATGAGCTACTAGAGTAAGTACTTTCGGATTCTTCCAGGCCAGCCGTGATCCTCCATCAGCTTCATCCTCTCGTCAGCATGTTTTGCAACTCACCTGGTTCCACTTCCATACATTTGTGTGTATTCACATTCGATATGGCAATTGCTTATGATGGCAAAGCTGCTTTGTGGTCCATGTGGCAATTTGCTGGCTCCTAGACGGCTAACGCTAACAAACCAGGCGGCTTAATGAGGTTGCTTGGCTCCGATTCTAATGAACTGCCCGACTCTGCTGTAGTTTTTTTTTTTCCTTTCAAACCCTACAGCCTAATGAGCTCGCCAATGAACAGAGAAACAATGCCCGGTCGTTACGTATCCTGCTTCTTCCTCATCTCATGTCTTTGTCCTCTTTGCAATCTTCTCAGTCTGTCCCTCATCCCCAAAAAGACGTCAGGTTTCAAAATAATATTGCTTGACTTTTTTTGTTGTTTTTTTGACTTTGCAAGTTGAACCGTCTTGTGAGTCAGCCTCATCACTTTCTGCTTCCCACTGTTCACTTCCCACATCCACTTATGCAACCCAGCACAGATCAGATCGCGACATTTAACATTCCTGCCGGTATTTAAAGCATTCTAAACATTCCTTCTGCTCTCTTGTCCCCTGCACACAGGAAGGATGTCGGTTTGAGGCGTTTTTTCCCCAAAGACCTGCTGGATTCAGTCAAGGTGAGATGAGAGCACGGCAATAGTCCCTCGCATAGTCGCATTAAAATTTTTTTTTTCCTGAAAAGAAAAAAAATGTACAGACTCTATTATTAAGTTTATTTACTGATTTCTTTGCAAGCTTGAAACTAATACATTTGACTCAACATTCCTGTTAAAATTTTGAGTTTGGCTGGATTGTGATTTTTTTTTTTCCGGCATAATGGCAGTGTCAGTGATAAATTTACGCCACACTTTTACGGGGAGGGTGTGTTGAAGAAAGGCGCAGTGACCCCAAAAGGTCCTGATGTCGGCAGGCGGCGTGAAGACAGATGCTCTGCAGAGCGGAGCGCTGCCGCTCGTGCGCAACCCCCGGGGTCACGTTTAAACCTACTTTTTCTTTCCAACAATGAGGAAAGAAAGGGGGAGGTGCGCGCCTCCCTTCTCCGTCTGTCTATCAAGTCCAGCTGAATCCCCCCCCATTCCCTGCCCTTCTCATCAGCTGCCCACTTCTTTACCTCCTCTTCACAAACATGGCTACATGCCAGTGACATATAGTGACAGTCAGAACAATTAAACACCCTTCCACTAGATGGCAGCAGTCATGCAACACAATTGTATTTCTATTGTTGTTCGAAACAATTGTTTCAGTATTGCCCTCCAATGGTGACGCACCCCCAAAAAAGCCAATGAAAAAGGATAACATGGCAACCCTTGCGAAGTTGATCATGAGGCAGCTCGCTGAGCTGAAGTCTCACGAGATGGCAGGCGTTTCATGAGACGGTCTGAAATCATCCTATCGATATGAGAGGTGCGTGCGTGTGTGTGTGTGTGTGTGTGTGTGTGTGTGTGTGTGTGTGTGTGTGTGTGTGTGTGTGGTACTGAGGTGTTTACAGCAGTCAGTTGTGTGGTTGTCTTTCAAAGGGTACAAGGGAATGGGAGTCATTTAATGGGATTATTCTCTTTCTCAATAGACTCCATACACACACACACACACACACACAAAAACAGATGGCTAGGGTAATAAAGGGTGACTGATGTCAGGGCTGGTCAAAGCCGCTCTAAGAGTCCATTCATGCTGACAGGTTGGCCAACAGGTTGAGTTAAAAAAAAAAGTCACATTACAGACGGTTTAATGATGGTGACTTGTGTGTGCCTCCAGGTGGCGCTAATAGGCCATATGAGTTCACCACTCAGTGTCCTCACACTACAGGATAGTTGCCCTAGATTAATATCTAGCGACGTCCGATAAGGAGGCCTTTGCTGACGTTAATTTGAAGAGAGGAAAAATACTCAAATTCAGCCTGATAATCGCTATGCGTCTGAGTGTGTAACGAACGCAGTTAAATTTAAGTCTAAGTCATGGTTGGCGCGTCAGGTTAATGGTTAGGATGGCTATACATCCACAATCATATCTTCTTTAACAGACGTTTCCTCCTCTAAGGTGACCTTCTTTCTTCAATAATTCATGGTGCCATAGCAACATACCGCATGTTCTTTTAAATCCACTTTGACCTCAGCTGCCAAACTCAATCTTTTCTAATCTCTTGTCTTAATCTAAATGGCGAACTATTCACACTTTGACTGCAGAGCTCGACTTTATTCTCACATCCTTAGCCTCATAACATGACTAATAACACACCAACGAGGTATGTCTGTGCCAAAAGTGATGACGTGCAAACGGCACAACAATGTTCCTGGACGGATTTGTATGTTCATCGCTGCCCTTCTGTCCACGTTAAACAGTTTCGTAGTCTCATGCTAAATAGTTGCATGTGCTTCATTGGCTCTCATCCTCCTTTAGGCCAAGACGCTTCGTAAATTGATCCAGCAGACATTCAAGCAGGTGGCCAACCTCAATGACGAGCAGTGCATCCTCAAGTTCCTCGAGATCCTGGCACCCATCCACCGCTACGACAAGGAGTGCTTCAAATGTGCGCTCGGGGTGAGTCGGACTCAGGTTCCTTGTGTAAGGTTGCCCCCTTGTGGTGGCGTTGCGTCTCGCAGGCATTCGCATGAGAGCAGGCGGTTCCTCGGTTTCCGATTGTTCCGACAAACATTTTGAGGTTGAGAACTGTGCATGGCGGAAGAAGACACGGTCGGGCGGCCCTGAGATGCCACAAGATGGCGCCAAGAACATTTGTATTACAAACTGCTTTGGCCCGAGTGTAAAAATGGGAACACGGAAGAGTTTTATAATGAAGCAAAGCTTCTCAGAATAAACAAAAAATGTGAACGGCAAACTGCATATATGTGGGGGTTCACTGTTTTCTCCCTGCTTGCAGTCAAGCTGGGTGATCCAGGTGGAGCTTGCGATCGGACCTGAGGAAGGCATTAGCTACCTGACGGACAAGGGCTCAGCAGTAAGTAAGAGTCTGCATTTTGCAGTTTGTTTTCGGGGTGCAATATAAACAGCAAAGTCACATCATCCGTACTGCACTTTGGAGGTTTCTACACACTGCATAATAGAATGAAGGAAAAATTGAATTTCGAGTGATACGTGTCTCTTCCTTCCTATAGCCAACCCATCTGGCTAACTTCACCCAAGTGCAATCCATCCAGTACTCGGCCATGGAGGAGAAGGACAGGAAAGGGATGCTGCAAGTCAATGTCGTGGGAGCCGCCGAGGTACGTGCTGGCATGATCTGGAGTTACCGTCAGCTGTATTTCTGACTTCAACAGCAGCTGGAAGTGATTCTGTCTGTCAGTCGAGCGTCTTTTAAGATAAGAAACCTTTGTGTGTGTGTGTGTGTGTGTGTGTGTGCGCGGTAGCCTCTCACCGTCACGACAGCCTCCCTGACCATGGCGGAGAATTTGGCCGACTTGATTGATGGCTACTGTCGGCTCATCTCCATGGAAACGCGCTCTTTCATTGTCAGAGTTCAGAAAGGTAGCGGCCGTGTTATGCTTCTCTCTATTCAGTTGCTCGGAATTCGAATTTGGGGTGATTTTTGGATACGTTTTAATCAATAGATTTCAGTGATCCAGTGATTTCTTCATTTATGAGTTGAATTGGTTCCGTCACCAATTTATCTGTTCCAGTCCGTTCTGTTTTTGTTTTTTTTTTCCATGAAGAAAAATAGCACAGCATTTTAAAAAAAAAATTAACATAATAAAAGAATTCCTAGTGAATACCATCAGGAGCTCTGACTCCAGCTCTGGTTGGCCATGAGCCACACGATTAGTTTAATGTGAGCAGCTGGGTCATGCTCCTTGCCAGTGTTTTCATTTTGTCCTGTGTGTTTTTTGACTGATTGACCCGTCAAAACAAAAAACAAAACAAAATAAAAAAAAACGCCTGAAACTGATTAAACAACCGTTTAATACCTTTAATGTCTTTGGCAGCATATCTGAAGCTTGAACTCAAATTTTGATTTGCAACAGAAATAAGCGACAGCTCAGAACTCAAAAAACGAAACTGGGGCTCTCATCAAGGCACTACTGTACTGTATGCAACTTTTCTTGTCCACTACATGTAGAAAGGTTGCAATGATGTAGTACAAATGTTATCACGATGCTGCAAATGTTTTTTTCTGCCGTATTAATCTCATGTTGTTGTTCTGCGTTTATCCTCTAGAGGGGGAGAGAGCGCTACCCTCCCTTCCAAAGTAAGTGCCGCTCTCTCTCAATTTGAAATGGTGTTGTACTTCGTTGTTGTTTTGCGAAGTCTAGGCTCGGACTAACCTTATTTCTAAAAACACTGGCTTCTACCCCAGTGGTCCCTATTTGCATCCTGGACTTGAACAAATAACCCCCCCCCCCCTCCAAAGAGACCATTTTTTCTTGTCCCAAAATAATAACTGTAATTACGTCCGTTCACGACACCCATTGTTGACACACGGACATGAAAGACTTTGTTTGAAATAAAGTGCAGAGTCACAGCGTTACTGTACATGCTCGTTTAAATGTTGCGTACGTCAGTGTTTGCGTTCTCGAAAGCAACGTGACTTGACATTTCCCAATGTTTCTCCACAATATTTTCTTTTTGGGTTACTTTGTCGAGTCCACTTCCTCTTGACATGAATTAGCAGTGATATTATTGAATGTTATTCCAATGATGGCCTCCGCTCTCTTGCAGTTGAGTAAATAAATGCCCCCCCCCCGGCCGCTACAGGAGGAAATAATTGAGCGTACACTATACGCCCCCGCCCCCCTAGTTGGATCTCGGTTTCACGACATGTTTTTGTTTGCTTTAAACTCAAATATCACGCTCTCGTCACCTCTCTTTTTTTTTTCCCCCCCTCTGTGTGTACCTTTCTCCCTCGCCCCGTGTCTGGTCAAATAAGGAGATAAGTTTGGCAGCCAAATAGTTTCCACTTGTGCAAGTCTCCTCCTCTTTTCCTTGGCCCTCTCACTCTTCCCTTTCCGCGGGCCACCACAAAAAGGCAGAGATAATTGCCGCACTTTGGGTGGTGGTGAACACGTACGCGTTTTCTATTTGTAGGTTGTCTAATAATGAGAAGAAGTTGGAGGCGGTCAAGAGTGGAGTGAGAACGATCTCGCTTTCAGGTAAGTCGGAGGAATGCCGCGCTCGCTCGCTCGCTCTTGACACATGCTCCCTTGTGACTGCTCTGCTCTTCCCATTTCCTCCGACATCTGTTTTTTCTCTCTCACCGTTCCCGTCTTGTCTCCTCCATCCTGTTTGTTTACATCCACGCTTGGCCCCTTTCTGCACTCTGTCCATCTTCCGTTCACGCCGTCCTTTTCACCCCCCCCCCCCCCCCCCCCCCCCCCCCCACCTCCTTTCTGTCTTTGATTGGCCGAAGACCCGGCGTCGTCGACTCCTCCCAAGCCAGCCAAGGCGCGGCGTTTCCTCCTCCCCTTTGTCTTCTGTTCCGATTCGCCACCCAATGGTATTCCTCGTGACGTGAATGTCTAATTAAAGGCTGCTAATTTCGGGTAACAAACAACTAACAAAAGTCATCGGTGGACAATTGAAATGAATGACATTCCGGTTTCCTACCCAGTTTGCCTCCCAGTGCGGTGCGCACCTCACCCAAAAATCAGCTGCATTTGACTGTAGTCGAGCAATTTTTAAACTTCAACGGGAGAATGAAAGCCATTTCGGATTCATGACTACCTACCGCTATGTCGAATGGAATTTTTCCATGATGGGACAGCGCGGGTGCGGATGAACGCCAGCTCTTCAGTTTGGCCGAGGCGCAAATCTACCTGGTTGATAAACTATCGATCGTACGTCCTCCTCACTGCCTGCTTCCCTGAACCAGTTTATTATGTATCGACTCTTATGCGTGTCTAATATTTCCTCAATCATCGAGCTTTGTTTCAAAAACAATTTGTCTTAATTACCCGCCTTGCAAGTGGAGTGCGGCAGCAAAGTAAAAACGGATGAGTTCAGCACATGCCTTGACTCTGAATCTGTTGAATTCCAAATCCAATATTTTATCCGAAGGATGAGTTCAGCACATGCCTTGACTCTGAGGTCGGGTTGAATCTGTTGAATTCCAAATCCAATATTTTATCCGTGTTTTAAGCCAGTCGATTTAAAGCGACGGAGCCAAATTCGCGGCCAGGGAAGAAGACTCTTGCGATGATGATCGGCCCGAGGCAGGCGACAGCCGCGGCTTTGTGAAGTGAGCCCTTAATCTGGACGGCAGCCGGAATGCCGCAGACAATTTTCCCCAACGTTCTCAGCTGGCGGCTTCGGATTTGACACGCGAGCAAAGCGCATCTTCACCATTGGGAATTCAACGTTGCGCTAAAGTCATTAGCAGTCATGGTGGAGAAAGGGATTCAATTGAATGGCTGTCGGATATTCAAAGCTACACCAATGTTGAAAATAATTGAATACAAGGTGCTAAATGATTTTGTTTCGGGAGGACGAATGATCAAATGTATTGGGACACTTTGATGTGAAATTGTACTTAGGCCTCCCGTTTGCTTGAACACTCATCCGGTTTTTGGTGTGTGTTTGTGGGATTTTGGGGGGTCATTCCGAAGCACTCTCGAACCGTCTGCTCTTCGTTTAAAATCCGCCACTGGAATTTTAGCGTTCAGCTTGGCGGCTCACGCGCATATTGACAAGTGGCCGCCGCCTGCATCGTGTGCAAGCAACATTGGCATCTTCCGACCGCTGTCTTGCATGCCGCCGCTTTGTTCACGCGTTTTACTGGAGCTTCAACTAACTGCCTGCGTCTTTGGCTTTGCAGGTTGTGCCGCAGCCGTTTTGTGACATGACTAACCTATAATTTCTTTCTCTGTCTCTCCTCCTCCCTTCCTCGTCGTCCTCCTTTTCTGCTCTTGCATGCTCCCCGGATCCTGCAGAAGATCTTAGCGGGGATGGTAAAGTGATCAATCTCTCAAAAGTTGTTTCTTGTTTCATGTCACTTGCACTCTTGTACGAAAGCGTGCTGGGGGTTTGGGTCACGGTTGCGTCCGTGTTCCTCCCTCAGCACTGTGTATTGTAACGAGAGGAAAAAAATGACTGAAGCTAAACTGGCCTCATTTTCGACCAACTTGGGATAATTTTCAATACAATTAGACACTTGGCCACGAAAACCAAGAGCGACGCCACCAGAGCGACGATGGGATGTGTCTCTTTTAGGGAATTTCTCCAAATGCCCCCCTCCCCTCCTCTCTCTCTCTCTCTCTCTCGCTCTCTCTCTCTCCCCCCCTCCATTCCTCGGTCCCTCCTCCTCCCTCCAAACACACACTCATGTACACGTGGACTGACATATATTCTTGCACAAAGTCATGCCAAGGTTTGCTGGTTTCAAGCGATGCATTCCTGTCTATAATGGGCACACACACACACACACACACACACACACACACAAAAGGGAGACTGGAATTTGAAAAGCCAAATGTTGTTTTGTTTTTCCCACAACTGGAATGTTTTTTTATGAGCTAAAGTGCAAGTCATGTAAACCAGTTTATGATGAAATGGCTGATGCAGATTTTCCCCCATTCTCTTCTCAGAACTTCTTTTTGAACGTCTCGTAATTGTATTTTCCAAACACCAAAGCACCTCCAAAGCTGCACTCCTCAAAAGTTTGAATAATTCCAAAATACCTCAGGACTTGAGAATTACAGCACTCTTGACATGTCACGTATTTTATTTTATTTTTTTTTTGCCGTGCTGAAATCAGCCTGTTTTGCAGGGGGTTGTCCTGTATCATGCAAGAGAGTGACAATGTGCCCGGCCCTCGTACTACTGGGCCAATGATGAGTAAGGATTTGATTCACATGCAATTTGGCCAAAGTGCATGCAACCCACCCCGAAAAATACCCCCTACAATATTGATTGAATTTTCACTCGTGGAGGCAGCACTTCGTCACCAAGTAATGAAGTATGTGCCGCTTATTCGAAGCTAACACTCGTAGCTAATGCTAATTTTTGCTTTCCACAAAACTCTTTTTGGCGTCCACATGAGCTGCATTGCATCCAAATGTCATCCGGCCTCGCTTGGCCCAGCAGAGCTGTCAAGTTAAGTGCGGGCAGACTTGGGAGTGGTATCTTGTATGTAAATTAGCACCACTGTTCATCATCGTGACTGAGCTCTGTAGTCAATAGCTCAAAAAAACCCCAACCAACCCCCCTCCAAAAAAACAGCTTTTGAAATTAGAACAACTTGAAAGTCACTCCTGTGGCGTTTAATGGCTCCCACCGTTTTAATTGAGGCTGTCTTTTATTAACCTTTAAATGACCCGTTACTTCCTGCCTGGGGCGTTCCTGCAAAAGAGAAAAAAAAAAAAAACTTCTCGCGTTAATCAAGAATTTAAGGAGCAGATTCCCGGTGTTCCCGCAGAGACTCCGATGAATCGGGCGCAAAGCTTGCGCGGACAGCAGATGTTCAACTCGTGTTGCTAGCAGCTGAGTCTGCAGCCTGACTTTATTTTAAACACCAACCATCTGGTTAGGATGGATTCCGTCCATCCTTCCCTCCTCTTTTTTTTTTTTTCCTCCGCCTTCTCCTCTTACTCCTCCTCCTCCCTCCCGCTGCATCTCCGACTCTGTTTTTGATTCTACCAAACATCTCTTTGGGCTCTCTGCTTCTTTTATTGATGTTTTTCTCCTCTTGAACTCTTCCTGGCCTTCTCTCCTAATTTCTCTGCCGCCATCACACTGCAACACCAGCTGCTGTCACTGAGCTCAGCTGACGTGCCGAGCCAATTGTGTGTGTGTGTGTGCGCGCGTGTGTTTGTGAGAGAGAGAGAGAGAGAGAGAGAGAGAGAGAGAGAGAGAGAGAGAGAGAGAGAAAGAAAGTATAGCTGCATGGGTGTCGCTTTGGGCAGGAGTTATCCAAACAGTGAGACTTTTTTCAGTAAGCTGCTGCACCTCCTCAATAATGTGCACGATTCTTTTTTTTAAATTTATTTTTTATTTTATTTTTCGTTGTCATAGTGTTTCATTTTCATTACAGAAACCGATGACTACGCCGAGATAGTTGACGAAGAGGACACGTACACCATGCCCTCCAGTAAGTGCATGATTTCCATTGGCTTTCTTCTCTTGGTTGTCCTACAAGCTAAAAAAAAACAAACAAACAAGGGAGAGCGACACGTTTGGTCTTTCCGTCTCCCTCCTTCTGCTTCTTTTTTGAAAGTAAACTCAAATCGGGCACATTTTCTCTGCATGCGTGCGCGCGAAATGACATCCCCGCCAAGTTCGCTGACTGTGAATCGTCTGGTTGCGTGTTTTCCGAGCTGTCTTGCCTCTTTCCCACTTTTCACCTCCCTGTCTTCCTCTTTTTTTTCTTCCCCCACTCACCCATCGCCAACGCAGTGACCTATGGAATAGTGGAAGGTAAAAAAAAAAAAAAAAACAAAACCAAAAAAGAAAAAACCAAAACCTAAAAGCTTGACATCTCTTATTCTTCCAATCCAACTTCCAAATGCTTGTGAATTTTTCTTTGCCACAAATCGACTCCCTTATTTACTGTATATGATGACCTCGGATGGGCATTTGGTTCCATTCCCTGAAGTGACAATTATTTAGCAATCAATAAATCACTAAAAGTGATTTTTGTTGCTCTGAGCTCTTGCTGATCTATTTCACCTTCATAATTTTCAATTAATAGCGATTAATTAACTATTACACCCATCCCTAATTTTAAAAAAATATATCTTTTCATTTCATGTGATTGGCCAATTCTTTTTGAGGGTTCACTGTTTTTTTTTTTTTTTTTTTTTTTTCCGGGGCAAAGAAAAATGCAAAAATACTACTGCAACTGTTGTGGGTCTCTCCTGTTTGACACATTTAATCGCATATAAATTATGTGGAGTTATTTTATTATATTGATGAATTTAATACATTTGAGTATAATTGTTTCTAATTTTGTTTGACTGAATTACATGTAATTCTGTGATGTTGAATTCTTTTAGCTCGTTTGTTTTAGGCGCTACTTTTTTGGTTGCAAAACAACACATGTGTATATCTAAAATGTGATTCAAGAAAAATGAATAACCCTCTCTTTTGTCATCATCGGCATCATCACTTCATTTCTTATTTTTAGCGCGGGACTACGAGATCCAGAGGGACAGGATCGAGCTCGGTCGCTGCATAGGCGAAGGTCAGTTTGGAGATGTGCACCAAGGAGTCTACAACATCCCGGTACGTCTACGGAATCAGTGGCGCAACGAGATGTACTCATTGAAATTCCGTGTAAAGACAAAAGTTGTTATTCCGCAGGACAAGCCAGCGTTGGCCGTCGCCATTAAGACGTGCAAGAACTGCACTTCGGACAGCGTGAGGGAAAAGTTCCTGCAGGAAGCACGTAGGGCGGCCGCCGAGTGAGCAAACCTGTTTTCATTCGATCTCGTTCCGTTAAAATGTGCTCGACGTGCTCCTGCAGTGACCATGCGGCAGTTTGACCACCCGTACATCGTCAAGCTGATTGGCGTGATCACGGAGAACCCGGTGTGGATCATCATGGAGCTGTGCACGCTGGGAGAGGTCAGGTCACCTGCGCGATAATGATCTGCTTGGACCCATCGTGATTCTTTTGTTTTCTCCCCCCATACAGCTGCGTTCCTTCCTCCAGGTGAGGAAGTACAGCCTGGATTTGGCAACGCTCATCCTGTTCGCCTATCAGCTCAGCACTGCGCTGGCGTATCTGGAGAGCAAGCGTTTTGTGCACAGGTAAACGAGCCATTCATACCTCGCTTTAAGAATATTTCATCATGTTAGACGTACTTGATATTTTTTTTTTTTTTTTTTGTCATTTTTATGGCCGAGAAGCAGACGGATATTGACTTGAATTGACTTCACCGTACTCTGACCCGTCTTAAGAGGGACTGGGCCCTGCCAAAAATAGCAAAAATCTGTGAGCAATGAACCCAAAAAAAACACACAAAAAAAAAAAAATAGAACTGCCTATAAATTGAAGTCTGTTGCCAATGAAAACAGCAGCAGCTACTGCAGTATGTAGCTTCCTACCGCATGTTGCAAAGTGTCCTGTGCACTGCAGAAGATCATTTTCTCTTATTTGGAAAATGGCATCTCATCAGAACTTTGTTGTGTACGTCCCATTTTTATGATCTACGCAGCTTATTTAGTTCCGCCCAATCTTCCTTGCTACTGGACCTTGATCTGCATTTCGACATATTTGACCATTTTATCATGTTTCAAGCTCAATTTTCACTCGACCTATATTGTCGCATTGTGTTAACATGAGTACAAATACAAAAGTAAGAACAAAATCGAGAATATGAAAACACCAAATATAACGGAATGTGACCTCATCAATGCAACAGCCCACCCATCCCCACCTGCATTACCACCGCGACTTCAAATTCAAGAGCCTTGACACGCCGTCTCATTTTGCCTCTTTTTAATTTTTTTTTTTTATTTTTAGGGACATAGCGGCACGTAACGTGCTGGTGTCTTCGATTGATTGCGTGATGCTGGGGGACTTTGGCCTGTCCCGCTACATGGAGGACAGCTCCTACTACAAAGGTGATGATCATGCCCCCTCCCCCACCCCCTCTCTAAAAATCAAACCATTCTTTGGGGATGATATCAACTCCATGGAACAGATTGCGGTCGACTTTTGAGGTAGTACGACTGTGCAGTGTTAACTGCTTGAATTGGGCAGCGTGATGGTGTTGAGTTGAGCATGTCATGACGCTCTGGGTTCGAATCTCTGTTTTCGCTGTGCTTTGGTAGGGATGCATGCTTTAGTGTGACATCGACGCCACCTAGTGGAGGCACGGGACATTTTCTCAATGCTTCTCTTCTGCACTGTTTCAGCCTCCAAAGGAAAACTTCCGATCAAATGGATGGCTCCCGAGTCGATCAACTTCAGAAGATTCACCTCCGCGAGTGATGTCTGGATGTTCGGTGAGCATGTTTGCCTCTGACTAAAATGGCATGGCGTCATTGCGGTGGTGACGGGTTGTTCTCCCTACCATAGGCGTCTGCATGTGGGAGATCCTGATGTACGGCATCAAGCCCTTCCAAGGGGTGAAGAACAACGATGTGATCGGCCGCATCGAAAACGGCGAGCGGCTCGCGATGCCGCCGCAGTGCCCGCCCACCCTTTACAGCCTCATGACCAAGTGCTGGTCGTACGACCCAAGCAAGCGGCCGCGCTTCACTGAACTCCAAACGCAACTCAGGTCATTATGATGACTCTGCATGGATTAGAAATCATTGCAGACCGCATAATTTCATCACACCACAAAGTCCGCATGCTGAACGCTAACATACAATGCGGAATGCCATACATCGGTGAACGGAAATGATGGTAATGTTCCTTACAAGCCTTCCAACAACTGCTACTGAAACACCTACGGCGCATCAACAAAAACAATACAACGATACTCAGAGGCAAACTGTATATTCTCTGCTCTGTGATCAAACTGGAGGTTAGTTGGGGACCTTCTCTGCCACCTCTTGGTGCTGTTAATGGTGCTCCAACGCATCCGGTGGACCTCATTCCTGCCCGACATGTCGTGCCACAATGCGCTACTCCATTGGAGGAGCGCAGCCCTAAATTTGAATATGCCCGAATACCATAAATAGAACATTCGAGAAGGACCTCTTAAAAATCTGCAGTATAGCGGGGACACAAACAAACAACGATATAGAAGTACTTCCCTGTACCTAATAGTTGTAATCAATCAACTTTTTGGATTTCTGCAATAGCACTATACTGGAGGAGGAGAAGGTGCAGCAAGAGGAGAGACTTAGGATGGAGATGAGAAGACAGGTCACGGTGTCCTGGGACTCTGGAGGTTCTGATGAGGCGCCGCCTAAAGTCAGACCCGTCTTATTAGATAGCTTTCTTGACTTAACTTGATTCGGAAAGTCAACAGAATGTGTGTTTGATTTGTGTTTGCAGCCAAGTCGACCGGGTTACCCCAGCCCTCGCTCCAGTGAGGGCTACTTCTCCAGCCCACAACACAACCATTACCAGGTGCCACACGCGCAAACGATCTGAAATACATTTTTATGTGCATTGTTGAACATCATAAGATATCCCTCCCGATTGATGTCACAGCACGCTTGACCCGTAATCACACGTGCACAAATATGAGTCATTGATTATCGTCAAAGAGAGTCATATATTATCAATGTATAAAACCAATGTTTCGGTTGTCATGGTGGACACCACCACCTAGTGGTGTAACATGGCATTGTTTCCCCCGAGTGTGGAAATCGCTGAACTTTTTTGTGGAACTTGCCGAGTTGAAATCAAACACGACAAGTCGCTCAACACGCAATTAACACGCAGCAGTGTAAATGCTTCACTTTGTTTGTCCATTTTCAATTCGTAAAAACAAAACATGGAGGCCAAATCGAAGCAGCACTGGTCAGAGGAGGAGATCCGGTGCTCCTACTTGGCTCTTTGTCAGTGGAAAACCAAACACGTTCTTCGTAAGAACTTGTTAAGCTTCAACTAAGCACAGCACTGGCCCTGCCGCCAAACGAGCGCCAAATATTCATTTGACTTCTTATTATTTAGTCTCTAACTCTCTTTGGTGTCCGCCTTAAGCCGACAGCACACGGCGGCGTAGGAGGCGGCTTCCCCGCCAACGACTCCTGGAACCAGCACAGACCGGAAAACACCGCGCTGTGGAGCTCCAACATGGAGGTACGGCAGAGCGCCACGACTCGTGGCGGATGGAGACTGAGCCCTGCTGTGCTGCTTTCCTATTCGCCAGGGCTTTGTGCCATCTTGTTAGAGCATTATAGAAAAAGCACCAAAACTGCGAGTAGGTGAGTTTTTCAGCGAATGGCACGGCATTGGTTACAGCGTTAAAACCGTCAATAGGCGAGTATGTGTAAAACTTGAGTTACTCCGACACAAAAAGGACTATTGAGGGGGGACGAATAAGTCACGGCGTTCCCTGAAACATCACCAAGGATGCACACAACATTGTGGAGCGAGCGCACGTAACGATCTACTGGAATGCGGGTCATCGTTGAAAAAAAAAAATTGGAATTTGCCAACTAATACTGTGATTTGAGGGAATAAAGAGTCATTTAGCACTTTTTGTTCTTCCAGGACACCGGGTGCGTTGGCCAGGCTCTCATGGAGGAGAGGCTTATGATGCAGCAGCAGCAGATGGAGGACGACCAGCGATGGTTGGAGCAGGAGGAGAGCTTCATGGTAACTCGAACACAAACCACTCTGGTCTAAATATCCGCGGTAACTCGGCGTCGGAGCGGGGTGACGAACGCAGGCTGCAGCCAGTCAGGGTTGAGCATTTGAGAGGCAGGCGGTGAGGCGGGAAGTGGGATTGGCAGGAGTTTAGGAACGAGCGCTGAGGTGTGGATGGAAAGAATGGGAGGAAAAATAGAGGGGATCTTTTCCTTGACTGGCTCCTCCTCTTCTTGGAAAAAAAAAATCCTTTCGGTCCTATTTTTGTGTCATCTACTTCCTCTCCTCTCTTAAAATCTGGTCTGTACCTCTTTTCGCTTCATGATACCTTCTGTCGCTCCACTTGCGCGCCACTCTGCTTCTTCAGACTCCTTTTTCCTCCCAGGATGCAACTCTTCAAAGCATGCTTCACCAAAACGGTACTGAAGCAAAGAGAAAGGGAGAGAACCAGGAACACATTTTTGAATGTCTGTTTTGGGTTTTTTTTCCCCCTCTCTACTCTGGAGCAACATGGCTAATCAAAGTTGTTGTTTTTTTTTTTTTTCCTCCAGAAGGCAGAGCCCAGAAACAGCCGAGGGAGCATCGAACGAGAAGACGGGACGCTCCAGGCGCCGGTCAGTGCTTTAGCTTCACGTTGACCCTTTCTTCCCGCGTGCCAGATCCTTCTTCATTTGGCGACCACAGAGATGCGGCAAGATGGCCGACATCTCAACCTGTCCCTTCCCTGACCTGTTGTGTGCGATGCTTCTTCTCTGTGCAGGGTGGAAGCCAGCATATCTACCAGCCTGTGGGCAAAGCAGGTAGGACAGCGACATTAGCTTGAAAGGAAGCACGATGTACTTTTTTCACTGTTAAAAAATTGCCAGTGAAGAACGTTGTACGTTTGTTTAGAACACGTGGCTCCGCCGAAGAAGCCCCCTCGTCCCGGAGCCCCCGCTCACCTGACCACCCTGACCGGCCTCTGCCCCGTCGACAGCTACAACGAGGGCGTGAAGGTATATGCTGCTCTTAGGTCAACGATTGTGTGCAGTGCCGCCATCCCGTGATAACAGCTGACTGCTTTTGGGCTAACGTGCTGTCCCACGCTCTTTCCTCTACCACCCCCCCCCCTGCCCCCCCAAATAGCCGTGGAGGGTAAGATGATCCGTGCATACTCGCGTAGAGAGTCGGTAGTTAGCCTGTTGTCCCCAGAGACTCATTTGGTGATGAATTCAGTCATGGCAAATACAGTGGAACCTCCAAAAACCTTTGAGCGCTTGAAAAAGGTGGTACCTCCATGGTGGAATGCCCCCAATAGTGGCAATAATTTCCACATAGGAAAACTGTCTGGCTACTCTCTACAACATGAGCCATCGAGTTAAACACGAATAAAAGGCAGTATCGTCTTACCTAGCAGACTCGAACGTCATTAGCATGTAGCCGAAAGTATAATGACTAGCATGGAAACGACCAAGTGAAGAATGGCAACAAAACACACTTTTTGACTGTCCGTTACACTCCAGGGGCAAGTCGTTGTCATTTATTTCACTTATTTTATTTGATTTACATTGGAGGTGTCCACTGTTATTTCTGAAGCCATAATCAGTGTCAGTAGTTTTCGCAAGAGCAGTAGTAAACATAATGTAGATTCGATGTATTGTTCCATCTCTCTAACTACATCGTAGCTCTCTATATCTGTATATCTTCGGCTCTCTCTGTATTAAGTGCTTAAGTCTGTCTTTCCGTCAGTCTGTCTACACTATTTATATCTATATCTCTTTTTGTTTACCTCTTTCTATTTATTCTATCCAACCATTTCATCTCTATCAATAGCAATATATGTCTCTCTGGATCCCTCTCTACTTCGATATTTTTTTTTCTCCATCCCTTTGTCTATCTCTAGCCATCCATCTCTTTAGCTCTCACTATCTCTATGGAGATAAATTATCCTCTAAAATATTTATTGCTTTTTTTTTTAAGTTTAAAAAATTTCATTTGTCCTTTTGGTGCAGTTACAGCCTCAGGAGATCAGCTCGCCCCCCACGGCCAACCTGGACCGCTCCAACGACAAAGTGTATGAAAACGTAACGGCGCTGGTCAAGTCGGTCATCGAGATGTCCAACCGGATCCAGCCGGCGGCGCCCGAGGAGTACGTGCCCATGGTCAAGGTGAGGGGCTGGGGCCAGTCGCTAAGGCAACATTCCACCGGGACCATTTGAAACTTCTGCTGAGCTCCCGTGTGTGTGTGTGTGTGTGTGTGTGTGTGTGTGTGTGTGTGTGTGTGTGTGTGTGTGTGTGTGTGTGTGTGTGTTTCGCAGGAAGTGGGCCTAGCATTGAGGACTCTGCTGGCCACGGTGGATGAGACTATTCCCGTGCTGCCTGCGAGCACCCACCGAGAGGTAAACACACACATTGGCTGACACAAAATGGCCGCCAGACCTTTTCATACAGCAACCAAAAATATTATAAATGTGAGAACCCAATCAGTCGATTTGACATCATCCCGCCTGCCACAGATCGAGATGGCCCAAAAGCTGCTCAATTCCGACTTGGCGGAACTCATCGCCAAGATGAAGCTGGCGCAGCAGTACGTCATGACCAGGTGAGCGCCACGTCCTTCGAACTTTTCCCGCCCGCACCTTTGGTGTTGACGTGGCGCTCGTCTTTCTCTGCAGCTTGCAGAAGGACTACAAAAAGCAGATGCTAATGGCGGCACATGCCCTCGCCGTGGATGCCAAGAACCTTCTGGACGTCATTGATCAGGCGCGTCTGAAGATGATTACGTGAAAACATTGGCTCTGAAGGATGTGCGGATGTCCTAATAGCAGGGACGAGATGGACGTTGGTCGCTATGGAGACAGAGACTTGGATTAAAATGGAGAACAGTGGACGCTACAGTCGCCATATTTTGGTGTCTTCTTGTAATTACTTTTTTTTGTTATGAAGGGAAGCTCTTGTCACACACTTTCAACTATACAGAGTGATTAACTCCCTATTTTAAAATACTTCTCAATTATTCATTAATTGTAAGTTTCTTTTTTGTTGTTGTCTAATGTATGAATTTAAAAAAATGAATATGTTAAAATGTAGCATTAGTACTACATTTATCTGTAAAATTACAGGATGTGGATGGTCTCCATCTTGTATAGTCAACATTTAAACATTGTCCCAAGCACTGGTAATTAGCCAGATTTAATCACAGATCAAATTCTTAAAATGAAAGAACAAACACACAAAAAATGAAAAAAAGTACAGATTAAATCTTCATAGATAAAAACAGTACCAAAAAAAAAAAAATCAAGAAAAAAATGACAATGAATTTGTATTTTAAAAGGGGGCGGTGTTTTTCAATCACCCTGTATATTTTTTTAAAGTTGCCATTTTTCAAAACCTTTTTTTTAAAAATCTAATGCTATTTAACACATGAGGGCTCGTTTTGAAGGCGTTTGCCACATGACAAACTGGAAAGCAGATGAAGTGGTGATGTTTCAACATGCGTGTACATATATAAAATATGGAATATTTACAGCCTTGGCTCTTACTGGATGTCTTTTTTTTCTTTTTTTTTTTTTTTTTTTGTCAGTATTGTTTCACACTCTCATCCTTCAGCGTGAAATCAGGGTTGAGAAGAGTTTTTTCCTACCAGTGGCCATTTTCCTTTCATGTATAAAACATCTGAACATTTACAGGTTAAATGTTTTTAATTATGTCTGTCAGCTCCTCTAAGGTTTGAATTGTATTTAATGTTGCACGGTGGCCCATGTACCACGGGTAGCCACTCCTGCTTGAAAACATCAGTTCGTACATGACAGACCGCTTGTTTTTTTTTTTTTTTTTTAAAGATGAATATAGAATTAATCTTTGTTTTCACACTTTTCTGAGGCATGGCTTGCTTGTTGGATACAAGCAGAGGAAGAAATGGATGCAGAACACCATAAATATGCTTCTAATTATGTTTAAATATAATGTTGTTGGCTTCAGTCTTGTGTGTATATATGCATACGCTTATATATGAATGGTATAGATAATGAAGTCATATCGGGTTGCCTGTTTATTTTTACACAACAAATCACATCGGTAACTTTTCAGACTAGAATCCAATACTGTGAATAGATAAGAGTCATTATTTATTGGGTGAATGGCGACTGCAGTTGGATGCTTTTGGTCAGCCGGTTTGAACCTGATAAATTCCCAAAACGGGATGTGTATATACCCCTCACACAAATGTTCTTTTGATGTTTTTCCCAGCACTTTTCTCAGGAAAGACTCTCATCATGTACAGTTGCAAATAAAAACACTGTTACAAGCAGTTTGAGGGTGACTCTTAATTGACCATAGGATGAGCTATTTCTGCTGGTAGAACTAATGCACAGGTTTTCAGTTGCTGAAAATTAGTCGTTGTTTAAAAGCAGTAATGGAAAGAAAATAATCTGTTTCCGCCCGGTTTCGAACCGGGGACCTTTCGCGTGTGAGGCGAACGTGATAACCACTACACTACGGAAACTGACGTTGGTTGTGTCAGTATATACCGTATTTCAAAGTACGTAACCAAACAGGCAACTACTATTGTATTTATAGTGGAATATTCTATCTGGTATTGAGCTAACGCATAGGTTTTTAGTTGTTTTAAATAATCTGTTATTTGAAAATAATAATAGAGAGAGAGAAAAAAAACATGTTTCCGCCCGGTTTCGAACCGGGGACCTTTCGCGTGTGAGGCGAACGTGATAACCACTACACTACGGAAACGCTTGAAAGAAAGTCCTGTTAAATGTCTATATATCATGTACCCTACTCATCATTTACCCGTACACGTCGGTTTTGTAACAGCAAAACAGTTTGAACTGGAAAATACAGTTTTGGTCTTTGTTGGTACGCAAAATATCGACATTATGCCAATTGTGTACCCTGCGATGGTACGACCACGCTCAGCACTGCAGTTTTTCTTCGTTGGTACATGAAACAGCGACACTATCGTGTTTCCTCGAAATTGTGTGGCCGACAATGGTACTGCTTTTAACACCGCTCCGAAGGCGGGGCGCCTTGGCTCAGGTCGTCGTCGCTTCCCAACCAGCAGGGTTAAGACTTCAAACCCTGATGCCAAGTCATGTCAAGCTGCCCTTGTGCAAGATTCTGCACACCGAGTTGCTCCCGATGCTGTATCATCAGTCGGTGAATGAGGAGACAGTATTAAAGCACTTTGATTACTGAGTTCCTCGAGAGCAGAAAAGCACTCGGTACACAAGTGAAAGCCAGTGTATCATTTACAACGTAAGGTGCATAATACTGGCAAACTAGCATATTATCATACGGAAATGTTCGCGCATGAGTGATGATAGAACATTATTCACAATCAATCGTCCAAACATAATCACGAATGACGTCGGCTTTACGGTTACACACACTTTTTTGGGCAGATATTGTACGACCAGGCGGACCGCTTTACGGTAATACACACCTGTTTGCCATGGTAGTAATCAATGTGCGACATTTTCCGTCTGACAGGTAACTCATTTTATTTACTTGGGTTAATGTGATGTATGGATGTTGAGCGTAATTGAGACGCCAGACCTGTATATTGTACCGATGCTCATTGTTTTGTTGTTGCCCAGTTGCGTCCTGGAGGAGCCCATCTGATGGATACTTCGAGTATTACAGGTAACGTTCTTTTCATACAAATTACACTTTTAATATCCACCTGCTCCCATTTTGACAGTTCTGCAAACCGGTGTATAACATCCTAAAAGATCGTTTTTTTAAAGAGTAGAATTAGAATTTACAATTGGACTTGACAAAGGACCCTTGGTATGTTTATACTTGTTCCTCCTTTTCGAAAACGTATATTTCTCACGACTGGGTTGACGACTGTGTAATTTTCCCTTGTGTTGCTTTCATTGACGCTTTGTTTTTGTTTTGCTCCCACGGGTGTACTTATCGACGGTGCTCTTATTTTAAACTTATTTGAAATAAAGATGGAAAAAAAAACAACTCTTAAATGTTAGCCATCTGTCAACAATATTTTGTAATTTTTTTGAAGGGTTCAACGATTACCTAAAATCTGTTTGACCATTTTTAGACTTTAATAAAATTAAAGTTAAATGTAAATTCCACGTTTTTAACCTAATTTCTAAGGAAGTCACTTTCACGAGTCATTTTTTGGAAACAAGTTAACAGGTCAGCAGCAAATTGTAAACACTGGTGGTTTTGTGTGGCACAGAACATGCATTTATTATATTTTCCAAGATATCAAAACTTTCATAGTAAAGACTTTTTTTTTTAATCATTGTAATTTCTAGATGTTTCAGTAAAGTTTTCCACCTGTGGCTGTTGACCCCTAATTCAATTTTATTACAAATTGGTTCATAAAAACCTGATATGCTAAAGAACTAGTTTACTACAGTCTTTAGTAAAAAAATCTTGTCCAAAGTATGTTTCAGTAAAGTTTTCCACCTGTGGCTATTGACCCCTAATTCAATTTTATTACAAATTGGTTCATAAAAACCTGATATGCTAAACAACTAGTTTACTACAGTCTTTAGTAGTATGTAATGCAACAATTACAGTGCTCAGTGGGCCACATTTTAGAATGAAGCAGGCCATACTTTGGCCAAAACTAGCACTCATTTTGTTGCTGATGTACCAGTATAATTTAAGTCTTGAAAGGGAAGGATTTTGTCATTAGAATAGGAAGAATCACAGAGGCAAGATAATTTTTGGTCATTTTATTGTTTTTAGAAAAACAGGTGGTTTAATCAAAAAGACCAAAGCCCATATCGTCATCAGACTCCTCGGACTCCTCCTTCTTTTCTTCCTTCTTCTCTTCTGCTTTAGCTGTGGAATTAAAAAGGCAAACAAGCCCATTGTTTAAAAAAATTCACATGACCAAACCTTGAAAAGTTTTAATAATTTTGTTTTACCTGGGGCATCTCCAGCAGAGGCCGCGGCTCCACCGGCAGCGGGGGCTCCAGCTGGCGCGCCACCACCGGCACCGACGTTGCAGATAAGGCTGCCGATGTCAACGTTGGACAGAGCCTAAGGGACACAAATGCAGGTAAAAACAGACGTCACATCCGCTTCGTTCGAGCCAGAAAAATGGCAAGTTATGCATTACCTTGGCGAAGAGACTGGGCCAGAAAGGTTCCACGGTCACGCCGGCGGCCTTGATCAGGGCATTCAGCTTGTCCTCCTACATACAAAATGGTTAAAACGAATAATTTTGACACACAGCACTATACAAATTGCCATTGGCATCATGTTCAATCAAAGTTTCAGAGAATAACTCAAGTTGTGCTTCAAGGCAGCTGTTAAGGTTTCAAGCAGGGTTGAGTTACAAGGTAAGATGATTTTTTTTGGACGTTTCCAGCTTTTCTTAAACTTGTCTCAACTTTTCACAACAAGTCTTAGAAGCAAGTGTTCAGTTTCAAGCATAATACGCATTCATGCCAGACAAATTTGATGTATGACGCGTCACGTTTCGACAATTGAAGTTTCAACTCACAACATTTGATAATAAAGAGCAAATGAAATATGTTGTGATGATGGACAGACAATGCAGGTTGTTGGCACATTTGGCACTCGTGTACCCTCCTGCCAGGAGTTAGCCTAGCATTAGATACTTATAGCTCAATTTTAAACCCCAATGACTAGAAATGTCGTTTTCTCACTGTACAGACAAAATGCAACTTTGATAACGAAACTGTCATTTTATGTTCGCTCATTTTGTGACGACCGGAAGCTTAAAAGTTAAACCCAGATGGCGGCAAAGCTAACAGGGCGAGCGAGACACTTACGGTGACAGTGACTTCATCATCGTGGAGGATAAGAGCCGAGTAAATACAGGCGAGCTCGGACACGGAAGCCATTATACAAGTCTTTATTCACGTTTACGGTGTTGGATGCCTAATTTTGATGGTGCTAGTCGCCGGATTGCGGGCCTTAGCTTCGGGTGAAGAACCGAGCACCTCAGGCACGTCCACTTCCTGTTAATGGGGAAAGGGACAGCAGTGGGCGGGAGTTTGGTTTTTATAGACTGCGTCGCTGGAGAGTGACGTTGTTGCGCATAGTCAGTGACGACTGACGTACCCGCCGCGCGGAAACTATTTAAAATCTTAATTTATTTTTAAATATTTTCTGTTGTACTAATTAAGACTTTTGATCATATTTCAATGAAAATAATTTAAAGAACACAGATTAAAGACCTGTAGTTTTGGCGTATTTTTGCACTTGTTGGTACATTTAAAATTCTTGAATATTATGTATTTCTTTGGATGAAATGTACATGTATTTCAGCGATTATATCTACTGTATTCCGAAATATTTAGTGAAAATAAATCGCGATATCTTTTTCGATCTTTATTCACAGTGATAATACAGATGATTTGTGGAAATTAATACAGGTGTTCAAGGGCTAAAGTCCTGACTACACGAATTTAAAAACTGTTTGCAATTTTGTGATTCTTAAATCCATCTTTTTTGGATGGAACATACATGCATTTGATTATATTTGATGTACAGTTTACATAAATTATTACTGTCATTTTTCACTAATAAAAATAAAAAAACCCGCCAAACTCAGTTTGTATATTCAGTCAGTTTATTACAGCTCACATCAATTGAAATCATTGAAAAAAAATGCAAATACACCAGGAGGGAAATCTTGAAGTTTATGTGAGAATGGATTAAAAAGTCACACATTAAAACAAGGGAATGGAATCTAGATGGGCCAAATATGTAGTAATACTTTCCAGTTAATTTCAATACAAACATTCAACAGAGTGACTCTGCTAAAGGGAAGTAAGCTGAAACAAACATTCTAAAAGTTCCTCCTACATTTGGCACCGATGCATTGCGTGATTTATGGAATATGTCACTTGGACAAAACAGAGTTGAGGCATTTTAAAAAAAAATTACAAAATGCTGTCATCTAAAATCCTCACAAAAATGTTCCTCAATATTTGAGGTGGCAAAAAAAAAATCCAGTTCAAACATGTTTGCAACAAAGGAAGGACGTAGATGTTCCTTCACTTGCCCGCCTTGTTCTTTTTAGTCCTTGTGAGATTTCCTTTTGGGTTTGTCATCGTATGAAATTCCATATTCGTTCACTCTCGTCTTGTCCACTGGGTAGAGCCTGAGGAGGGGAAAGCGGGTTAGCTGTGGTTTGCACTCGTGTGTGTCTGTGTTAGTGTGTGCATACCATCGCTGGTAAAGGTAAATGAGAAAGACCACGTCGTCTCGGAAACAGGCCAGTCGGTGGGATGTCGGCATAGTGATGATGAAGGCAAACACGTCGTCAATGAAGGTGTTAAATGCCTGACAACATAATAATAATTAAAAAAAAAGACTCATTGTAACAGAGAAAAAAATCACACTTACTCTCTTATAATAATAATACATTTTATTTATAAGCGCCTTTCAAGACACCCAAGGACACTTTACAATGACTCGTTCAAAAAAATAACACTTGTCGCTTTCTACCCGCGACAAATTTATTTCTGCAACATTTATTCTTGTAAAATTTTAAAACATGACCTTTTATTTATTAATTCATTTTTTATCTTCATGTGGAAACATTATTAATAAATTAATATGATGTTTGTGACAACTGTCCCTGTGTTCTCACCTTGTACATAAAAGCCTTCCAGGGCAGATGAGCCACTGACTTCAACTTTTGGTTGGAGAAAAAAAGAGAGAGGGGGGGGGGGGAACATTTTTAATACATATTCGTCTCTGACAGTTGATTGTCAAATACCTGTGAGCTCACCTTATAGTTGACAAACAGTTGAGGAAGCATGAAGAGGAAGCCAAAGGCATAGACACCTACAATATATTTTGGGGACGGAAAAAAAATAAATTAACTAGTGATGTTGAGCATTAAAAGCAGCTGCGGGTCCAAACTTACCATTCACCATACTGTTGATGAGCCACGAGTACCAACTACAACAGACACAAATAAGACACCCAATTATTGAACGCTTAGCCAACGCTTGTCAACTGACAGCCTCCCAACCTTTTATATCGCAGGAATATTAGGGCGTACAGGGCCCCCCCCAAGCAGAGCGGGTAGAGAAGGTACGAGAGGTACTTCATGGCCTGATAGGGAGGACACGAGGAATGATTACATTATAAAGTAGATCACTTAAAAAAATAAAGACAATAACAGGAGCCAAGTTTTGCGATTGGTTGTGGGGTTACCTGAGTGTCGTACTCTCCTGTTTTTCTCTCCGACTCGTCTAACTTGCCAAACTGCAGAGAAAAGCACCATTTATTTTTTATATGAGATCTCACTGGAGTAGTAAATCAGTGTTTCTCATACAGTTGTTAAGCAAAGGGATGCATTTTACATCTGAGAATATTGACAGCCATTTGAACGTTTAGAGGACGTTCAGTTTAAGGTCTATAAGGTACAAGTATGCTCTTTGTGGCTTCTGATGAATATTCCCGCCCGGGTGATAACGTCCATATGGGGCATATATGATATATTGGATGTGCAGCTCAGTGCTTGGGACCGCTGCTGCCGTAAATATTTTGGGTGCGCTTGAACCTACCAGGAATGTCGGTTTTCCTCCTTTCCAGACCACTTGAATCTTCAAGGCCTTCTTCACTTTCCACACCTACAACAAACGTCCTTTTAACATATCTACATAATAACGGTACAGTGTTCCCTCACCTATTCCTATCAATGTAGAACTACTTTTCTATCTGACACGGGTTTGCCCCATCCGACCAAATCATCTGGAAGCTATTTATTTTTTAAGGCGTATGCTATAAAATCAGTTCAAAATTACAGTATGTTTTGAGATCATAGTTTGAGGTTGATTTACAATTGAAACTGCTAATATAGGCAATTACTTGGGAGTCTGGCGCAGTTAGGATCAAATGCTAAACTGCGCAAGCTCACCTCAATAACGGCGCCAATGCCTGCGGGGATGAGGACCAGCAGGCTGGTTTGCTCGTCGAACAGGTAGAGGAAGATGATGATGGTGCTGAAGCATCGCCACAGCACTGACAGAGGATAGCAACATTATATACATAAATAAATAACAATAAATTCATAGATTTCTGTCAAATAACCATGTTCCATGGTTAGAGGTTACAGCACCACCTATTGCTCTGGCATGCACATGACAGCTTGTGAATGCATTTTAGCATGGTTAATTTTTGAGAGGCCAGTTTATAATATATATATATATATATATATATATATAAGACACACTAAGTTGTCCTACCCGCTTTGCTTGACATCCCCACCATGCTTTTTTTCTCTTTCCAGAAGCTGATGTCATTCTTGAAGGCCAAGAAGTCAAAAAGCAGCTGGAGACAAAAAAAAAAAAAAAAGGAACATTTTTTCCAATAACAATAAATTCATAGATTTCTGTCAAATAACCATGTTCCATGGTTAGAGGTTACAGCACCACCTATTGCTCTGGCATGCACATGACAGCTTGTGAATGCATTTTAGCATGGTTAATTTGAGAGGCCAGTTTATAATATATATATATATATATATATATATATAAGACACACTAAGTTGTCCTACCCGCTTTGCTTGACATCCCCACCATGCTTTTTTTCTCTTTCCAGAAGCTGATGTCATTCTTGAAGGCCAAGAAGTCAAAAAGCAGCTGGAGACAAAAAAAAAAAAAAAGGAACATCTTTTCCACTGTTCTTTTCATTTGATTCGATTCAAAACAAGCACGGGCATCCTAGTAAAGAGACACACGTGAAAGGCGGCCACGAAGAAGGTCAAAGCCAGGAAGTACAAGTTGGTGTCGGTGAAGATCCCTTTAATCTCGTCTGCGTCCTTCTCCGTGAAGCCTGCGAGGGGCAAACGGCAGCGTGAAATGGCGGCACAAGACTGGAGTGTTTCTGAGGGTCGTACCAAACTGTTGCAGGGAGTAGACGGCATCCTGCATGTGGATCCAGAACCTGAGTCTTCCCAAGGAGATGGCGTCATAGGAGATGGTGAGCGGAAGCTCCAGGGTGGTACTGTTTATTTCCTATAAACACAACATAGGCTGTCTCAATGTAATGCCCATTCACTGCTGCTTTAGGGATTATTGCAGTGGAGTGAATGTCACTTTTTGTGGAACTATCATTTCTTCTGAATTAACAGAAAGACAAAAGAGTTTGGAATTACCAGGAGATCCTTGATGCGGTTGCTGAGCTCATCAACAAAGAGCAGAGGTAGGTAAACCATCTTCTTGCCATTTTGAAACCTGAAAACAACAATCAACATCTTCATTCCATTAAAACAAAAAAATGCACACACACTCACTCACACTTTATTCCACATCGATACATATAGATTCGCAGAGCCTTACGCTCTGAGGTAGCGGCGCACGTCACTCGGAAGGTGTTCCTTGTCGAACACAAAATGGTCGCCCACGATGTTGAGCGTCAGGCGGGAGCGCCAGTGCGAGACGGGCTGGTCTGACATCCGACTTTCTTCTTCTTTGCGTTGTTTGGTCTGGCGAGCCTCTTCCGTGACACCCTTTAGAATGGGATTCAGAATAAGAAAATTAACCTGGTAGTTGGTTTGTCAATCTGTGAACCTTCATGAACCGCGCTTGAGTGCGTCACACCTGCGTGTGGTCCTCCCCGGTTATGAGGGAGATTTCGGGGGGCTTGGGTACCATGTAGGCAGTGAGCTGGGCTGCCAGGTGCACCTGCCGGGGGTCCTGCCACGGGGTGACGCCGGCCTGGTGGACAAACACTAGCGCATACAGAGTCCCGTTGTTGCGCGTCTTCTTGGGTATCGAGACGTTCACAGTCCTGGAGAAGAGCCGAACATTTGGTCACGCCATCAAGTTCAAGAATTTGGCTTAATAATTGATTAATCAAGTAGCAGGATGAACAAAAGTGTGCCAAGGACAGCCCCTTGTGGGTGACCACTACTATTTTCTTCACAATATAAAATCAATTTATTGCATTTTACAGCTAGAAGGTGACAATCCCTATCCACGGACCTCTCAAACTTTTCGTTGACATTAAAATTTTCCTCTTTGTGGATGAGGGTGTGTCCCCCATTTGCATTGGGCCAGAGGGCTGTGTAGATGCTCATCTGGAAGATACAAACCAATAACATCACAAAAAACAGGTCAAATTTTTCTGCTTGCAGATGACATAACACATTACTGACCTGGAGCTCGGGGTTTCCTGCAAGAAAGGGCGTGATGCATCCAGTGCTGCTGGGCAGCTCGCAAGGTTTGGTGTAAACAATGCCGTACATCACCCAGCAAGTGTGCACCACATACACCACGAACACACCCACCACCAGGGTGGTGAAGGACGACTTCAGGAGCATGTCGGCAGGGGCGGTTTGGCGTCTCCTCGGCTAGCTCCGGTCTTAGCCCATGTCAGTCCGGATACCAATAAGCTGCAGCTACAAGAACATTTGGGGAACCTGCTCATCTGGTTTTGTCATTGTTAGTCTCAATGGCTGAAATGAATCATTATTTGGATCTGGCGATCAGGAGGGTTGGAATGCAACTCACATGTCTAAACTACAAGACAAAGATAGAATAGTAAGTGTGCGATCGCAACAGAAGTCAGATGAATACACAGTGATCATAAATTAATTTTAGATGTTACATATTCAGCAATCTAAGAAGGCTGGGTGTGCGTGGTTTGCGCTCATGTTAGTCCCACATATCAATGTTGATCAAACCATAAATTGTTTTAATTCAAACTAACCGGTGTAGAAATTGTCAGTCTGCCAGAGACCGAATGACGGGCCACTAGCGGCTCTCTCGCAGCGAACTGTCTCGTCCCCGGCTCACGGCCGTCTCATTCACCGCGACGACATCGTCATAACAAACAAAAAAAAAAAAAAACGCCACAAGTGCCTCGGCGGCGGGTCCAAATTTCAGTCATACGTGACCCAATCCAGACGCATCTAGATTAAGGCAGCAGCCCCACTCCCAAAAAAAAAAAAAAAAATTCACATCAACTGTCGTGAAGCGTGAGGTGGATTTACTGTACACTACTTCCGGTATCCACTTCCTGGTCCCATCTCATACCGCGAGAAATAGCGAGATTGCAACTCTTCAGAACGCCACTATCGTCAAAATAACTATAGTATACTGTGTAATGTAAATCGCCGTGTTTATTACTAATAATTAGCAAAGAAATATTCGCAATTTCCGTTTGAATAGCAGGCTACCTGTGCTTTCAGTTGGGCGCTTCTGCCTTGAAATACTACGGAAGGTAGGCTATAGGCAATGTATACTTTTTAATTTGTACCTATCAGTAAATTTACTGTATTTGATTTGTAGGCGTACCGCGTTGTCTAATTTATGTCAATATGTCGTCACAAAACGCCATCGTGTACAGATGTATTGTACTTTGAAATACTACAGGATTTGATATGGGATGTGTTTCTTTTTTGTTTTGGCGTTACCTCTGTTGAAATGAGTGGGTCAAAATTTTCTAATTACATTTCACTAACGGAATATAAAGTATGAAAAATGCCGTGACCCGGATTCGAACCGGGGTTGCTGCGGCCACAACGCAGAGTACTAACCACTATACGATCACGGCTGGTAGTTCGCGAAGTGCTTAACTGTCGTGTCACCAATAGTGACATTGTTGTAAACCCCATCTACTCTGACAACCGCCCCCCCCCCCAAAAAAAAAACCAAAAAAACGTACAGGTCTTTTTTCAGTTAGCACTTGCTAATTTCGTTTTTTTTTTTTTATTATTGGTCACTTCACAAGATTAGCTATCAGAAGTCATTAATAGCTAACCTTTTACTTTTGTTCACATCAGTGTGTATTTTTACTTCAAGTGTATCAGTGCTTTGACATTGAACATTACTTTTTTTTAACGCCAAGTCTGCACCTGATGTGACGTCACCCAATGCTGCTCATAGCCACTAGGGGGTATATTTGCATCATATTTTGGGTTTGCCAGAATGACTGCTTTCACATACGTTTCAGTCCTGACTCAATTCTGTTTGTGGCATTTCAGCCTGTCGACCTTTTCTAGCTGCAGAGTTTTTAAAAATACGTAATACCACAATATTTCCAAGCAGAGAGTGTGGAAAGTAAGGAAAAGGGGTCAACGTATTAAAAAAAAGGCTCTTGTCAGTGTGTTGTGAGCCTTTGGGCAGAAGAGAGAATGTCAAGAACAGTGTGAGAGTGTAAAAAATGCAAAGGGGAATGGTAGCATTTCAAAGATAGAAGGATATGACCCCCACCCTCCTCAACCAACATACCCCTTGTACTTGTCAGAAGTGATTAAAAGGCTGCTTCCTGTGCCAGTGACGTACTTCCCTGCCTCCCCTCGGGATACCCGAGTCAAATACATGAAGCAAATTGCTGAGTTTCCAATCCCCTGCGAGATGGCGAGCTGGCAGAGATCCTCAGGCACATTCTTGCTGTCCAACTTTGAGGAGAAAAGGTAGAAAAGGTGACCACGTTTGGGCCATTGGCCCTCAGCTCAGAAAGTCATCCTGGCAGAATGTTGGTCACCCGCTGCCATTCGCACGTCATGCTCATAAAACATCTGCCTTCACAGTCCCTTTGATGTGGTGTGCTTTAAGGAATATTAATTGCACCGGCACAGTTAACCTATGAAAGAAATGCAATGGTACTACTTGTATGTGCTACTCGATACAAGCATGTAATACAACGTAATACTCAAATGTGTACAAGTCCACCAATTGGTGGCACCGCAGCTCCATGTCGCGTTCAAATCCTCCATCCCTGCTGTCTGTCCTGCAGTCCATTAACATCCCCACGCAACATCATTGCACGGCGATGATCCATAATCACCCCGTCGTGGGTCTCCATTAACATCCATCGCTCTTCGGGGAGTTTTGCTCCAAATCGAGGAGAGCAATCGACATTGAGTAAAACTCATTTCCAAATGACCTCCCACGTGGATACAATGGCAACCTTCACGTTCCCATTTGCAAGTGCGGCGCGATGAAACACACTTCTTCAGCTGTCAGATGAGCAGACGAGTTATTGAAAGGGTGCAGTGCATTTCCTTGACAAAAATCGCTGTACTTGTCGAAAAAGTTTGATGTTTTTAGCCTGCCAGGCAATCGGGCCTGCTTCACATTCAAAAGCGCCACATTTGATGAAAGCTTCGACACTTGAGCAGAAGTAACTCACGCCCAGGTTGCTTGGGGTGTATTAATATCCGCAAATTCACCAAATTCTGTTCAGCCAGATGTCAGAAAATATCTTCAGTTGGCCATTCTGTGAACAATTCAAAGGTTTATAATTGTCTAAGGATATCACAAGATGGCTTCAAACTGCTACTTTTAGTCTGTACTATGGCATGACTAAATAAAGATCCTCCCCTCACTTCAACATAGTTTCTTTGCACCAAGATGTCACAATGAAGGTGCCGAATGGGGGGACAATGTTTGTTTTTGGAGTTTGGTCATGTAACATTCACAAGCTGAGCCCTGATTGGTCCTTACCTGAGCCCCGAGCAACTGTGATGACACTTTTAGTTGACAGCAAGTGGCAGTGCAAGGCAAAATGGCCGCCCCGTGGGACGGATTTTGCTGCTTAATTCATATTCCACAAACGCAATGTGTTTTGACTAGCAGAGCCGCATATAACATATTATTGAAAAGAAAAAAATGGACATGACTTCCCCTTACACCCCCTTCCCTTTATTCTCATTCCACGCTTTCCCTCGTATCTGTCACTCTTTTCTCATTTACCTATCTCCATTCGCCCCTTTTCCCGCCGTCTCGTTTCCCAATGATTAAACAATGCCGCCGCCCCGGCGAACCCACACTATTCTTTTTAATGCCTTCCGTCTGTCCCTCCCTCGAGCCGCTCTCCCGCCCGTCTATCGGAATCTTTAACCTCTCGCCATTCGTCTCGCCTTGTCGCCTTCATTATTTCTCTCTCTCTTTCTCTCTCCGTCCATCTCTCTGCAGCCTCCCGTGGCCTGTCGCCTTGTGATTGAACGACTTGAGAAGTTAGTCCCATACCCTTCTGCCGTCCTCCAAGGTAACACACACACACACACACACACACACACACACACACACACACACCTGACCTGGCCCCATACCATAAATATCTGGCCTGGAGTGACTTTAGTGCTCTTGATCTATCGATCTATTTATCTGCCGTGAATTGAGGAGCTTCATTTAGAGAAAAGTAGTGCTTTGCAGTTATCTAGTGGTATCTTGCTGTCAAGCAGCTGTGTAGGACAGGATTGAGGTGCTTCATTTAGATTGCTGCGATCCTGTGGCAGCTTGGTGCCAAAGAACTAACTACATGGGAGTGAATTGAAGAGTTTCAGTTACACAAAAATATTGCTGTGCTGCCATCTT